GCGAGTGACTGCGTACAAGGCAAGAGCCCTCCCCTCTGTGCTCTCTCCAGCCCCATAGAATCAAACTTTTTGTGGGGGGTGATTGGGGCCCCACTCGGAGGAACTCAGGGCTCACTTCTGGCGGGGCTCTGGCGCCCCTGTGCGGGGTGGGGCGTCCAACCCAAAGGGTCCGAAGCTGTGTGCATCACTGCACCCCCAGGTGCAGCTGTATTTCATCTGCTCAAACCTTGGCCCCCTCCACAAACAACCAGACCCCCAGATCAGATCCGGACCCCTTTGTCCCCTCCGCATGGGGCACAGAGCGAGGTGTGCTTCACTGCAGACTGACCCAGGGCCCTCTTTCCCGGCGTGTCTGCCCTCTCCTCTCCCCGGGAGCCCCCCGTGGCTCATTCCAGGTTCCTGGAGAGGCTCCCCTCCTTCAGGGGGCTGACCCTCAGGGGGCCCCTAATTACCGCTGGGTATAAATGACACTTTAATTTCCGTGAAAGCTTGCATCCTCACCCAGAAAGCCTCCTCCCCCCTCCTAATTACCAGTTACGCCTCTCATTTCCCTCCTGGTGGCCCAATTCCCAAATAGTGATTAAAATTCATTACCCGACGCCCCCCCCCTTACAGCCCCATCTGGGGTGGGAGCCCCAAGTCCCCCACTCGAGGTCCTGCTTCCGCCATCCCAGTTTCCCGTGGACAGCCGCCCCCTTACCCAATTTCTACTTCTTGAGTCTGGGCACCCACTGGCGGAAGATGGTGGGTGCCCCCCCCATGCCACAGACAGGTCCTGTGTGACCTGGGTGACCTTGATCCAATGACTTTCTCTGCGAGCCTCCGCAGAACGGGGCAGTGGTGCTGGTCTCGGCTGAGGTCGGGGGGCGATGCGGGTAGGAATCAACGCCAGACCTCCCCTTCGCACCAGGAGTCCAGCTTCAGCTGCTGAGCCAGAGCGGACGCTTCCCCGCGCGGGAGCCCAGGAGGGCGCACGGGGAGCCCTGGGGTCCAGCCCAGGTGTCGCAGGCTCCACTGAGCCCAAACACAGAGCTGAGTGGGTGCAGGGGTGAGGCGCCGTGCCTGGCTTGGCAGCCAAGCTAGGTTCGACCCCCAGCCCGTCCAGGAGAGATTCCTGAGCACAGAGCCAGGAGTCACCCCTGAGTACTGCTGTCTGTGGTCCCCCCAAAGCAACCCAACACTCCAAAATATCATGGCTGGGGCACTGGAGCAATAGCACAGCGGGGAGGGCGTTTGCCTTGCACGCGGCCGACCGGGGTTCGATTTCCAGCATCCCCTATGGTCCCCCGAGCACTGCCAGGAGTGATTCCTGAGTGCAGAGCCAGGAGGAACCGCTGAACATTGCCGGGTGTAACCCAAAAAGAAAAAAAAAAATCAGGGCTGAGTCCCGGGCCAGTTGGTGCTCAGGAAGCCTGAAATAGACATCCTTCCAGATCTTTCCTGAACCTTTCCAGATCTCTCCGAGGTGGGTCTGCAGGGTGGAGGTGGGGGGCCATTTGTCCTTCTGAAGTTTGCTGAGTGCCTAGGCTGTGCCTGTCCCTGGTGAACTCATCGTCCTACATTTGCTGTGCTGGTTTGGGACCAGGCCCAGAGAGGGCAAGGCAGGAACATAAGGGTGCACAGCACTTCTGCGTTGCCATTGCTCCTGACTGGATGACCCCAGAGGTGGTAGGTTCTAGGCCAGCACCCCTGGGTGTGGAAGCCGAGGAATGACGAGCCAAGCGCCCTAGAGAAGGGGGAAGCCTCGGGAGCGTGCACTGGTGGCCGCTAGCCGGGATGGGTTAATGGGCAGGGGGCCAACGAGGGAGAGTCGGGCCCGCTCGCCTCCGTGCCTCCCCCACTCCCCAGGGACACCCTCTGGCCGTGCATCCCAGTTCCTAGACAGCCCCAGCGTGATGGGGGTGACGAGGCAGCTGGAAGGGGCCAGCTGTAAGCAGAGCCGGTAACTGGACCTGGGCGGGCCAGGCAGGGGCCCGGCTGGCGGGCCGGGTTACCCGATCCCCCCTGGGATCCCACCAGGGGCCCCCGAGCCGGAATCCAGGGGCGGCCAGGCTGACAGGCGCGCCTTCTGTGGAACTGGAGACGGGACAGGGCGGCAGCCCCCATCTCTCCCCCACGGCAGATGGAGCCCCACCCCCCACTGCCCCCCTGGTCCAGAGACGCTCAGGGTCAGCCGGGAAAATCCAGCTCAGGTGGGGCTGGAACCATGGGACAGCATCACCGGATGTGGTCCCCCCCCCCATAAATAAATAAATAAATAAATAAAACCCAACAAATCTAGCTCAGATTATGAACACTGGTTGATCAGTTCCTGCTCCAGTTTCTTTCTTTTTATTTTGGGGGGCGATGCTCAGGGCTGACTCCTGGCTCTGTGCTCAGGGATCACTCCTGGTGCTGCTCAGGGGACCCTGTGGGATGCCGGAGATTGAACCAGGGCAAACGCCCTCCCCACTGTCCTCTGTTGCTTCGGCTTCAGGCAGGGTGGGGTTAAAACCCACCGTCCACTGGGGAACCTCGGTGCTTCCCCTGGGCTACACCCAGAGGTGGTCAGGAGCGATTTCAGGCTCAGTTCTCAGGGGTGCCCTCTAGTGGCGCCCCGGGGGACTTCCCACTGTGTCCCTGAGTCCCGGACCGTTCACCTGCCTGGACTGTGTTTTGTGCATGTGGGCAGCAGCGGGGATGGAGCTCCAGGCGTCACGGTCGCCTGGCCCCTCCCACAGACCTTGGGATCTAGGTTGATTTATTGGCTGTTGTTTTGGAACTTAGTCACTGTTTCTAAAGTGTGAGCTGAGGATCTGGGGGGCGGGGGTGTGTGTGGAAGTAACCAAGACTTCTCCATCCAGGAAGAGCCACTTGGTACAGTGTTCCAGAAGGAAATTCACACTTAGGGCGACGTTCATTTTTAAGGCAAGGTTCATTTCTAAGGATTCCATGACAGTTTCCAGAGGGCATGGAGTCCATGGATCCTAGGGAGTTTGTATCTGCCTCAGTCCCCCCCCTTTTTTTTTTGTTTTGAAGGGAGTCACACCCAGTGATGCTCAGGGCTGACTCCTGGTTCTGCACTCAGGAATCACTCCTGGCGATGCTCAGGGGACCCTGTGGGATGCCGGGAAACAACCCTGGGTAGATCGCGTGCAAGGCAAACGTCCTCCCCGCTGTAGTAATTCTGTAGGGGGTAACTCTGGACCCCTAATTTTAATTCCTTACCTTATTCTTTGGTGGGGTATGGAGGTTGGGCTGAACCCAGCGATTCTCAGAGAATATTCCAGGCTCAGTTCTCAGGGGGCACCCCCTGATGGTACTCAGAGGTCCATAAATTGCAAAGAAAGGGTCAGGCGTTAGTGGGGTGCTATCATTCCTGTACTCTCTCTAGTCTCTCTTCTTCTCTCTGTCTCTCTCTATCTCTCTGTCTCTATTTTGTTTTGGGGCTACACCTAGCAGTTCTCAGGGCTGATACCTGGCTCTGTGCGCAGTGATCACTCCTGACGGGGACAGGTGCTGGGATTCGAAACCAGCCAGATAATTGCGTGAGTCTTGAACTAATTTCCAGTCCTGGCTTTGAGGTCTTAACTGCCAGGCAAGGGGTGGAGAGGTCTGGGGCTGCACCAGGAGTCCCCAGGAACTCCTGGAGGTGCAAAGCAGGGGAGGAGTCAGGGAAGGACATCCTCAAGGAAATGTGCTGAGGTCCCCCCCCCCCACCGCCAACACGTGGGATCCTGGCCATGCTCTGAGTCACAAATCCTGGAAGTCCAGGGTCAGGGAGCGGAAGCCCCTCCACTCCACACAAGGTCTTCCTGTTTTTTTGGCCCTTGAGGCAAAGTTCCTGCCTCACCTCCACTTCCAGGGGTGCGGATCCCCATGGTAGGTCAGGGCTCAGAGATTGAGTCCCTGTGACTCAAATGGGGAAACTGAGGCACAGGACTTCCCCAGAACCGACAAGGCTGCTGGGGTTCAGACTGTCATCTGGCCGGGCGTGGAGGGCTCCAGAGGGTGAGTTTCACACACACCCTTCAACCTCTTCCTCATCAGGAACACCCCCACACATGCTTGGAATGGATTTTTTTTCCACACCCAGCAGTGCTCAGGGCTGATTCCTGGCTGTACACTCAGGAATCACTCCTGGCGGGGCTTGGGGGACCCTGTGGGATGCCGGGATCAAACACTGGGTCTGCCGCGTGCAAGGCAAATGCCCTCTGGCCCCAGCGAGGGTCTTTTCATTACCTAGAAGGGAGCCCAGAGGGGCGACCCCTGGAGGGGTTTTGAGGTTCTATCACGGGACTGGAAAGGAAAAGGGGGCCCACTGGGATACAAGATCCATCTTATCCGAATCTCAGAGCCCCCGCAATTTCCTATGATTTTAGAATATTGCAACTCATGTGACTGGAGTGAAAGTACAGCCGAGAGGGCGCTTTCTGCCAACCCCGGTTCGATTGCTGGCACCTCATAGGATTCCCCACAAGCCCCGCCAGGAGTAATTTCTGAGTGCAGAGCCAGGAGTGACCCCTGAGCATTGCTGGGTGTGGCCCTAAAATCTAAAACAAATAAAACTAAAATATTGCAATTCCCATGTGGCGGTTTATAACATTTCAAGAGCCTTTGAATTTTTTTTGCGCCTTTCCTTTTCCGTGCATATGTGTACACGCGTGTGTGTGTATGTGTGTGCGCGCGTGTGCATATGGAGAATGCATATTCAGTGTATTTTGGGGTCGGAATGTGTACACCCAATGTATTTTGGGGTCGGAATGGCTGAAGATGGTGTCTCTCTGATGCTTCCCGTTCTTGATCATTTCCAGTAGAAACCGCTGCCGGGGGTTGTACAGTAAGACGGGAACGAGTTGGCCCGATTATTTTTTGAAAAGTGACGCTGTAGCTTGTCTTACTGCCACGACCCGTCACGAATGTGCCTGGATAGGGAGTCGCCGCGGCTCGCGCGCGCCCTCTGCTGGTGACAGGCGGGACTGCATCCCTCCGGGCTCACAGCCCCGCCCCCTCGCCCGCAGGTCTCGCCTCCGGTGCCCCCGACCTCGCCATGCGGACCCCAAGAGCGCCCCCTCTCCGCCCGGCCCTACAGATCCTGCTGCTACTGCTGGGGGGCGCCCACGGCCTCTTTCCCGAGGAGTCACCGCCGCTCAGCGTGGCCCCCAGGGACTGTGAGTGGGGAGTTCGGGGAAGGCGGGGGTAGTGGGGGTCGCCAGGTCCGGCTCGCGCCAGCCCTGGATCGTTACCCCTGCGCACCCCGTTCCCCAGACCTGAACCACTATCCCGTGTTCGTGGGCAGCGGGCCGGGACGCCTGACCTCCGCAGAAGGCCCCGACGACCTCAACATCCAGCGGGTGCTGCGGGTTAATAGGACTCTGTTCATAGGGGACAGGTATGGGGGACCTTGGGCGAGGTGTTCGGGAAGAGCGAGGGTGGCAAGAAGTCGCTTGCTTTTGGGGGGGCGCATGAAGGAGCCTGGGGGTGGGCGGGCGCATGAAGGAGCCTGGGGTTGGCTGCCGTGTGACCCACTGTGTGTCCCTGGGGCTCCTAAGGGTTGATTCGGACCCAGAGCCGGTCGAGGGGTGGGAGTCATCTTGGGGTCAGTGTCCCTTCCGAGGGTGCCAACGTGGTCCCTCTGGGCTGCTCGACAATGTAAGTCAAGACCTGAATGAAAAGAAGCCAGAGGCGGTGGCAGCAGAAAGCAAAGGAGAAATGCAGGCAATGGCCACAGCTTGTACAAAGGTCCTGGGGTAGGAAGGCTCTTAGGAGGAGGAACAGGGAGGCTGGAACGGAGGGAGGAAATGGGGTAAGTGGTGCAGAGCCTGCCGTGCCTGGGACCTTGCCCCCTAAGGGAAGGTGCCCGGTGCGGTGCCCCCAGAGGCCTGAGGAACGGTCTCACCTGCGCCCCCTGGTGGTCGCTGCGGAGACATTGTGGCGTCCAAAGACGGAGTCGGGCAGGTGTGTCCGCTCGTCCAGGTGGGAGGGGACGTGCAAGACTTTGATGCTGGTTGACTCCGTAACGCAGAGCCATTAACCATTAACGACAGAGCCCCACGGTCATAGCTAATATGTGCACGTGGCCGCCTGCACCCCCGACCGGATTTAGTGGCTTAGCTGAAACGGGGGCGGGGGTGGGGGGCAGTGGAGGAACAGTCTTGGGGCGCAAATTGGCTGCAGGCCGACCTCACTGAAGGAGACCCCGTGTGCCTCCACCCCAGGACAGCGGGACCCGAAGTCTGGGGTTCAGGCACAGTCCCAGCTGGAGGCAGGAATGTGGTGACGCTGGAGGCGTCTCTGGCTTCTCTCCAACGCTCTTTTGTTGTTGTTGGCTGCTTGGGCCCATCCGGCGATGCTCAGGGGTTCCTCCCGGCGGTGCTCGGGGACCCTCTGGGCGGCCGGGGATCGAACCCGGGTCGCCTACCCACTGTACTATCACTCTGGCCCCCTGCCCCCTGCTCTTCAGCCAGCCGTTATTCTGCCCTTTGTCGAGGAGGGGTAGAACCTGGGGGCCACAAGGAAGGAGAAGGAGGGTCAGGGATGTGCTCGGACACATCGGCAGTTCACCAGGGCGGTGTAGACGCCTGGGGTGTAGATGTCTGCATCGCGGGGCGTGGGCGGGGATCAGGGCGCGCCAGAACCTGCGCGTCATTTTCGGGCGGGAGGAGGCGCACTGGGGCATGCAGACTTGGCGTGGGCACACCCGTGCACCGAGCACTGTGAGCCTCCCTGGCGGAGGTGAGGTGCGAGGGGGTGGCCCTGACAGCATGCCTCCCGCAGGGACAACCTGTACCGCGTAGAGCTGGAGCCCCCCACGTCCTCGGAGCTGCGGTACCAGAGGGTGAGCGCTGCTGGGAGCGGGCGGGAGGAGACGGCGAGTCTGTGCTTGCTCGCGCCCAGGGGACCCGACTCTGGGCTCCGGGGCCCAAGGTGGATCTGCTGAGCCCCGGACTCCCCCCCCCTCACCAGTTCCTTCTGCCCCCAGAAGCTGACGTGGCGCTCCAATCCCAGTGACATCAACGTGTGTCGAATGAAAGGCAAACAGGAGGTCGGCAGCCAGCGCGGACCGTGCCCCGATGACCTCGCCCCCGCCCCACCCCGTGGCCACGCCCACACGCCCACGCCCACCAAGCACGGCCTCGCCCCCGAAACCCTCTTCTTTATCCAGACCCGAACTTGGTCTGGTCATGGCCTCACGCCTGAGCTCCCCTCCTAAGACAGGGCACGATCCCCGGGTTCGTGCCCCGGGGACCCCCAGATGTAAAGAACTTCCCTGCGTGGCCCGGCTTTTCCTTGGCCACGCCCACACTCTGGCCCCGCCCTCCAGCCGGCCCTGCCCGGCGCTGCCCAGCCGTGGCCACGCCCACCGAACCTTCCTTTCCCACGCGCAGGGCGAGTGTCGCAACTTCGTCAAGGTGCTGCTTCTCCGGGACAAATCTACGCTCTTCGTGTGCGGGTCCAATGCCTTCAACCCCGTGTGTGCCAACTACAGCGTGAGTCTCCGCCCGGCGCCAGCCCTAGTTGCCCCAGGGCCAACCCTCGGCAGCTTCGCTTCCTCCTCCTACAGGCAGCCTTCTTGGCTTTGCTCTTTTTCGCCCTTTTCTTTTTTGGGGCCACACGTGGTAGTGCTCAGGGTTTCTTCTTGGCTCTGCACTCAGGGATCCCTCCCGGCAGGGCTCGGGGCGCTTACGGGGTGCTGAGGATCGATCCCAAGTTGGGTACATGCACGTGCAAGGCAAGCACCCGCCCCACTGGTTTTGCTCCTTTTATCCCTTACCCCTCACCAGGGTGGCTTCCTCTGCAGGGAACCCTGAACTCCGTAGGCCGCGGCCCGTTTCTACGAATGACTTGGATTGCTTCTAGCAGCCATTTGGATGGAACGAGGATCCTTTGGGGAAGGCGGCAGGGGTGTGTGTGTTGGGGACAGCCAAGTCTGACCAGGACTCTATCCTCATGCAGATCGACACGCTGCAGCCCGTCGGGGACAACATCAGCGGCATGGCCCGCTGCCCATACGATCCCAAACATGCCAACGTTGGCCTCTTCTCTGGTAAGTGCCACCCTTAGCTACGACCGGCACCATGAGAAGTCCAGCCCTCGTCAGGAGTGGGCATGCCCACTCTTCAAGTTGAGGCCCCGTGGTGGGCAGCTGGGAGAGAGTCTGTCCAGCTGCAGAAGGGCCATATGTCCATAGGAGCTGGTGATTCAGCTGTCTTAGACTTGGTCTAGAGACGGGGGATTCACTTAGGCTAGCTCAAGATTTGAAGGTGTGTGTGGTGTGTGTGTGTGTGTGTGTGTGTGTGTGTGTGTGTGTGTGTGGTCAGACCTGGTGATGTTCAGGGATGACTCCTGGCTCTGTGCTCAGGAATCACTCCCGGTGGAGTTCAGGGAAACTATGGAATGCCAGGGATCGAACCCGGGTTGGCCGCATGCAAGGCAAAGGCCCTCTCCATTGTCCTGTCCTCACTTCAGCCCCCAATGTTTTTTTTTAATTTGGTTTTGCCTGGAGGCCACACTTGGTGGTGCTTAGGAAGTTACTCTGAGTTCAGTGCTTGGGGTTGTTCCCTGCAGTGCTCAGCTGAGCATACAGTTCCGGGGGTCCTGCCGAGGTCCCCTACCTGCCATCCATGCTCTCCTCCTGATCCTGAAGGGGTTTTTTTCTCTATGACCCTGAAGGGTTTTTCTTTTTTCTTTTTGGGTCACACCCAGCAATGCATAGGGGTTCCTCCTGGTTCTCCACTCAGAAATTTCTCCTTGCACTGCTCAGGGGACCCTATGGGATGCTGGGAATCAAACCCGGGTTGGCCTCGTGTAAGGCAAACGCCCCACCTGCTGTGCTATCGCTCCAGCCCCGACCCTGAAGTTTTGACCTGTCTGCCATTGACTGTTGCATCTCATCTCTCACCTGCCTCTTCCTCCACCAGATGGCATGCTTTTCACGGCCACCGTGACAGACTTTTTGGCCATTGACGCTGTCATCTACCGCAGCCTTGGGGACCGGCCTACCCTCCGCACCGTCAAACATGACTCCAAGTGGTTCAAAGGTGTGGTGAGCATCGGGGGCTATTGTGGGCTCATAGTCACCGGATCCCCCTACTAGAAGGAAGATTCAAGTGGGATGCCAAGTAGAACTTGCTAGAAAGGGCCTGCAAGGGAACTGCACACGAAGCTGAGCCTGAGAGAAACTACTCAGGGTGGAAGGGGACAAAAATAGTAGCCAAGGCTGGGTGTGGAGGTGTAGACATAGCGTGTGGTCTCTGTGTAGACACAGTAGCTTCTGACACATCCCACCACCTGCATACCCAAGGAAAACAAACTCTGAGGCCCTGTTTGGGGTGGGCCCCCCTTTCACCATAAAAGCCCTCCTTCCGCTTCCAGACTAGTATCTCCTGAGCTCTGAAAAACTCCTTCTCTCACACTGGGGTCTGGGTTCTGATCCCTCCCGCCTCACAGAGCCCTACTTTGTCCACGCGGTGGAGTGGGGCAACCATATTTACTTCTTCTTCCGGGAGATCGCCATGGAGTTCAACTACCTGGAGAAGGTAAGGCTGGGAGCACAGCACGGGCGAGAGGCTCTGATAATGCAACAGTACCCTGAGGGATGCCAGGTGGAACTCGGTGGGGCACAGAGGCGGGCCCAGCGATCTCAGCGACATTTTCTTTTCTTTATTTTTTTCCTTTGGGTCACACCCAGTGGTGCTCGGGGTTTACTCCTGGCTCTGCACTCAGGAATTACTCCTGGCAGTGCTCGGGGGACCATGTGGGATGCTGGGGATTGAACCCGGGTCGGCCGCGTGCAAGGCAAATGCCCTCCCCGCTGTGCTGTCGCTCCGGCCCCAACATTGTCTTTTTTTGGGGGGGTAATCACACCTGGCAGTGCTCAGGGCTGACTCCTGGTTCTGCGGGATCACTCCTGGTGGGGCTCAGGGGACCCTATGAGATGTCAGGGATGGAACCCGGGCAGACGCCCTCCCTGCTGGGCTATGGCTCTGGCCCCTTAGTTTATTTATTTGTTGCTTTTCTTGGGGGAACCACACCTGGCGTTGCTCAGGGCTGACTCCTGGCCCTGTGCTCAGGGATCACTCCTGGTGGGACTGGGGGACCCTATGAAATGCCTGGAATGAAGCTGGGTGGGCTACATGCGCAGCGAATGCTCCCTCCCCGCTGTCCTATGACTCCAGGCTCCCGGGAGTGGCAGCCTTGCCCCCGCTGCTGGCCGTGCCCCTCAACACCCCGGCCAGTCCCAGGCGGCTGTGGTCGGGGCAGAGGGGAGACACAGAGCCCCAAGTCAGGCCCGGGAGTCAGAGACACCCCTGGTTTCCCGTTCCGAGGCCACCCCCTTTCCATATGCTCAATCACCTGCTATTTTTAGGGGACACTCTAAAATGCTCAGGGCTGACTCCCAGCTCTGTGCTCAGGGATCACTACCAGTGGTGCTTGGGGACCCTGAGGGATGCCAGGTGGAACTCGGTGGGATGCTGCCAGGCCAGGGCCTTACCGCCCCGCCCCCTGTCCTTCCTCCCTGCGCACCCCTGATGCGCCCAGGTAGTGGTGTCCCGCGTGGCCCGGGTGTGTAAGAACGACGCGGGGGGCTCCCCCCGTGTGCTGGAGAAGCAGTGGACGTCGTTTCTGAAGGCTCGGCTTAACTGCTCAGTGCCCGGGGACTCCCACTTCTACTTCAATGTGCTACAGGCCGTCACAGGCGTGGTCAGCCTGGGGGGCCGGCCCGTGGTCCTGGCAGTCTTCTCTACCCCCAGTAACAGGTCAGTGGGGCTCTAGGGGCATGTGGGTGAGGGACGGGAGCCAAACACTCACCTTTGAAGGCTGGTGGGTCAGCACTGGAAAGTCGTGGCCTCTGCATCAGAGGAAGTCAGGGAGGGCTTCCTGGAAGAGGGGACACTGACATTAAACTCGGAGGAGGTGAGAGAATAGCAAAGTAGGTTGTAGGTGACAGTACGGACAGCATGTGCAAAGGCCCGGAGGCTGCAGGGGAATGTTTCAGCGAAAGAGTAAAGGACCAGAGGGGAAGTAGCTGGGATCCTGAGGTCAAGGTCATGGTCATGAGGAAAGGTCTGGAATACTGAATACAGCAGAATGAGGCAGGTGTGGGACCAGTTCCTACTGGTAGCCTGGGAAAGCCGGTGGAGGGATGGGCTGGTGGATGCTGGGGAATGTTCGGAACCAGTAGTCCAAACCTCCGACAGCCTGGGGGGACCAGGCCCCCCGTACATCCCTGCCTAAGCTAGTGCCCCCCCTTGCTCCTCCACCCCGTCTCCCCAGCATCCCGGGATCCGCTGTCTGCGCCTTTGACATGACCCAGGTGGCAGCAGTGTTCGAAGGTCGCTTCCGGGAACAGAAATCTCCAGAATCCATCTGGACGCCAGTCCCAGAAGATCAGGTGCCCCGGCCCCGGTGAGAACCGCCCTGTCCCAAGGGGGTTGTCTGGGTGGGGACCCTGTCCAGGATACAGTGGACCAGAATTCCCCAAGACTTTTGTTTATTGTTTTTTGTTGTTGGTGGTGGTGATTTTTGCACCACACCCAGAGGTGCTCAGGGCAGATTCCTGGCTCGGTGCTCAGGGATCACTCCTAGGGGGGGTTCAGCAGACGCTAGGAGAATCCGGGGATCGAACCCGGGTCAGCCACATGCAAGACAAGCACCCTCCCCACTGTACTATCATTCAAGCAGAGTGAATGACCACTTGTGCAAGGGGCGAAAGTGTAGGTTGATCTTTTTTTTCGCACATGGCTGACCAGTTTTCCCACACTGTTTGCTGAAGAGGTTTCCCTTGTTCTATTTCTTTTTTTTTTTTTCTTTTGAGGCCACACTCATCGATGCTCAGGGATTACTCCTGGCTCTGCACTCAGGAATGACTCCTGGCGGTGCTTGGGGGACCATATGGGATGTCAGGGATCGAACCCGGGTCGGCCGTGTGCAAGGCAAATGCCCTCCCCACTGTGCTATCTCTCTGGCCCCTTCTTGCTCCATTTCCTGGACCCAGATCTTGGTCATCATTAACCCTCTCTCCCCTGTGATGAATAATGCTGGACCTTCCATTCTATACCTTTGGTCTCAGACTGTTTTCAGTCCTGAATCACTGTTTCCCAGTGACCCCCTGGGTCACACCCAGCAGTGCTCAGGACTTACTCCTGGCTCTGTGCTCAGAGGTCATTCCTGCTGGGCTCAGAGGACCCTATGGGATGCTGGGAATCGACTCTGGGTCAGCCATGTGCAAGGCAAACACCCTCCCTGCTGTGCTGTCGCTCCAGCCCCACAGGTTTGATTGCTATAGCTTCAGAGGGTCCCCCAAGGCCCCGAGCCCCTCCAGGAGTGATCCCTGAGCGCAGAATCAGGAGTCAGCCCTGAGCACAGCTGGGTGTGATGCCCAAATAAAAAATAAAAAACAAAAAATTTGGTTTTTCCCCCTTTTCTTCAAGTTGGTTGTTATCATATAAGAATAGATTGAGGGTTTTTTTTGGGGGGCGGGCGGGTGACTCTGCAACCTGCCACTTTGCTGCCTTGAGTTCTTGTTTCTAGCAGGTGTTTTTTTTCTCGATGTCGTTAGGGTTTTCTCTGACATCTGCAAACTGTGTTTGTCGAGGGCTGCAGCAATAGGACAGCAGGGAGGCACTTTGCACACGGCTGACCTGGGTTTGATCCTCAGCATCCTATAGAGTCCCTCGAGCACTGCCAGGAGTAATTCCTGAGTGCAGAACCAGGAGGAACCCCTGAGCACCAGGGGGGTCCACCCCCTCACAAAAAACCTGTGATAGTCTGCCTTTTTCCCCCCTCTGACGCCCTTTTCTTTTCTTTCTTTTTTTTTTTTCTTGTATGAGTGCTTCGATTTCCCAGGTAGTTATTTGGCCAAGTTCATCCATGCCCATCACAAGGACAGGGTAAACTGATGCCCTAGTAGGCAGAAACCCCAGGTTTCCTGGCCAATCAAGACCCCTTAGTGGCCAGAGAGATAAGAGAGTGGGTAAGGGGCTAGCCTTGCACGCTGCTGACCCGGGTCCAGTCCCCAGGACCCCCCAGGCCGGCCCTGACCACCCCTCTGCCCCTCCCCCAGGCCTGGCTGCTGTGTGACTCCCGGCATGCAATACAACACGTCAAGCTCCCTCCCGGACGAAATCCTCAACTTCGTTAAGACCCACCCCCTGATGGATGAGGCTGTTCCCTCTCTGGGTCAGGGACCCTGGATTGTGCGGACACTCTTGCGGTCAGTCTCAGGGCAAGGCTGGGTGGGGACAAGAGGCTGGGCTGGATGCTGGGGGAGGAGGAGGAGGAGGAGGTGGAGGTGGGAGGAGGTGGAGGAGGAGGAGGAGGAGGAGGAGGAGGAGGAGGAGGTGGGGGGAGGGGAGGAGGGTTCTCCCGCTAGAACCAGACATGAAAAGCAGCTCAGTCTTGGGTGGGAGGAGCTCATTGCGTACAACCTATGCCTTGTGCCTGTGAGGTCCTGGGTTTGATCACCAGCACTTCACCGCTCCCAAGCATCCTTGGATATAACCCTAGTAACTGCTGACCACTGCTGAAATAAAAAAAGTAAAACAGGGGCAGAGAGATAGCACAGCAGGGAAGGTGCTTCCTTGCTTGCATGCAGCCAACCTGGGTTCTATCCCTGATACTCCATAGGGTCCCCAGAGCACCGCTAGGAGTGATCCCTGAGCACAGAGCCAGAAGTCCGCCCTGAGCACTGCCTGACTCAAAACAAATAACTATAAAGGTTTTTACTTCTGCTTTTTGGGTTACACACAGTGATGCTCAGGGGTTACTCCTGTCTCTGCACTCAGGAATTACTCCTGGTGGTGCTTGAGGGACCATATGGGATGCCGGGTATCGAACCCGGGTCGGTCGTGTGCAAGGCAAACGCCCTACCCACTGTGCTATCACTCCGACCCAGGTTTTTTGTTGTTGTTGTTGTTGTTGTTTTCTCAAATAAATAGCACAGCTATTTATTTGAGAAGGGTGTTTGCCTTGCACGCGGCCAACCCTCCCGACCCGGGTTCGATGCCTCCGCCCCTCTCGGAGAACCCGGCAAGCTACCGAGAGTATCTCACCCGCACGGCAGAGCCTGGCAAGCTACCCGTGAGGTATTCAATATGCCAAACACAGTAACAACAAGTCTCATGATGGAGACGTTACTGGGCCCGCTCGAGAAAATCGATGAACAACGAGAGGACCGTGAACTATAAAGTAACAACAGAACCAGTTTCTAGCAAAACAAGTCAGAGACACAGACAGACCTCACTGGGAGAACAGTTTTGGGATGTCTGTGATCACCCTACCGGTCACAGGCGCTATCAGCCTGTGCCCAGGTAACTTTGGGCTGTGTGTGACCAGCCTGACCTTCCCCTCCGCTGCCCGGGACCCAGGCACCAGCTGACGCGGGTGGCCGTGGACGTGGGCGCCGGCCCGTGGGGCAACCAGACGGTGGTCTTCCTGGGCTCCGAGGCCGGCACGGTCCTCAAGTTCCTCATCTGGCCCAATGCCAGCACCTTGGGCATCACCGGGCCCAGCGTCTTCCTAGAGGAATTTGACACCTACCGACCAGACAGGTGCGAGGGGGCGGGGTGGATTGGATGGGGCCACGCCCCCGAAAGAGACCACTCCCAGGTGTGGCCAGGCCCTGAGTGTGACCTGCCCCTGAATATAGCCACGCGGGTAATGTGGCCAGACCCCTGAAAGCGAGCACCATTGGGTTGGTTGCACCCCCGAGACCACACCTTTGAGGGAGCTACGCACCTTTGAATGTGGCCACCCCCTGAGCCTTTCTTTTCGCAGGTGTGGAAGGTCTGGAGCCAGCGGCGAGGGTGGCCAGCGCCTCCTGAGCCTGGAGCTGGACGCAGCCTCGGGCGGCTTGCTGGCGGCCTTCCCACGCTGCGTGGTCCGGGTCCCGGTGGCCCGCTGCCAGCAGTATTCGGGGTGCATGAAGTAAGTGCCCGCCCCAAAATGTCAGTTGTGTGGGTCCGGGGCCAAGCGAGGGGAGGAGAACACGGTGTCAGAACCCCACCCCATCCAATTTCATTGAACCATGAGCTGGATTCACTGAACAGAGCCTGTGCAGAGGTCCTGTGGTAGGATGGGAAGGGGAACAGTAGTGGGGAGACCCAGGGGACAGAGCTAAGCCGGGATAGAGGAGGGAGAGAGGGAGGGGTCTGGGGTGAGGCCATGTAGGACTTGAACATTTTTAAGGGCAATAAGAACAGGAGCCGGGGAATCTGGCAATGGGATCCGCAGAAGAGCACTTGCTTTGCATATGTGAGGCTTTTGGCACTGCAGGGAAAAATGGGGGAGGGGAGGGACCAGAGGGAGGGACAGTGGGGAGGGCTCTTGCCTTGCTTGAGGATCACCCTGGTTTGATCCCCAACAGGTCCCCTGAGGTCAGAACCAGGAGTTAACCCTGAGCATTGCTGAGTGTGGTCCCTCCCCCCTCAAAAAATGGCATGGAAAGGGCTGGAGCGATAGCACAGCGGGGAGGGCGTTTGCCCTGCATGCAGCCAATCTGGGTTCGATTCCCAGCATTCCATAGGGTCCCCCGAGCACCACCAGGAGTAATTCCTGAGTGCAGAGCCAGGAGTGACCCCTGAGCATCGCTGGGTGTGACCCCAAAAGAAAAAAAAAGGCAGGGAGGTGGTGCAGATCAGCCACAGGGAAACTGCTGTCCAACTTTAGGACTCGGGTGATCCCCAGACACGAGAACCTCCTGTCCACGAAGCCCCTTCCAGTCATGGCACTAAAGAAACCCTCCATTTGTCATGCCCGAGGAACACTCCTGGCCTTGGTTTTCTCCTCTGGACAATGGGGATGGACAGTCCCACTGCAGAGCGGTCATGAGTGTTTCCCGTCCCTGCCGCTCAGGGAGTACAGCCATCAGTGGGGGGAGAACTCACTGTTCTTGGGGGGCCCCCGTCTGCTCTAGGAACTGTATTGGCAGCCAGGACCCCTACTGCGGCTGGGCCCCGGATGGTTCCTGCATCTTCCTCAGCCCTGGCACCAGGTACGGGAAAGAGAAATGGGGGTGGGGGACGCACAGGGGTCACCCTCCCCCTGTGGGATCGAGGCCCCCCCACTCACAGGGCCCCAACTTTTCTTCTCCCTGTCCTTAGGGTCACGTTTGAGCAGGATGTGTCCGGGGCCACCACGTCAGGCTTGGGGGACTGCACAGGTACGAGGGAGGGAGGGGAAGGGCTCCAGAGAGAACCCCCTGGGGTTCCCGTGCCCCGGGCCCAGAGTCAGGGTGGGGGAGAAACAGAGACGCCCACTTGTGGCTGGGAGGAAGGAGTCAGACAGAGCCCCAGGGACAGAGAGAGGCTGAGAGAGGACACACAGACAAGGAGACCCTCAGTCAGACAAGCTTTGCAAAGGCCCAAGAGTTGGCCAGCGACTTGCCTTAGGGGGATGGGGCAGCAGGGATGGCTGGCTATTGGGCCCGTGTCAAATCAAACCGTGGGCTCCGTATACAGTCTCCCTGAGCACCGCTAGGGGGCGCGCCTGAGCACAACACCCTGAGCACCTGGGAGTGAAGGCCAACACCCCTCCACCTGCCCCCCCCCAAAATAAAAACAAAGAAAGAAAAAAAATTGGTGAGGACAGACAGCCTCAGGGATGTGAGACAGAATTTGCAGTGGGGTCTGGAGCATTAATAGGGCAGTTAAGGCACTTGCCTTGCACATGGCTGACCCGGGGGTTGTTCCCCACCACTTCAGATACCCCCAAGCACCCCCAGGAGTGATTCCTAAGTGCAGAGCCAGGAATAATCCCTGAGCACCAAGGGGTGTGACTCCCCCAGAAAAAAGAACAGGAGAAAAAAGGGAAAAAGGAGAGAAAGAAAGAAAATCAGAATCGTGCTGAGTGCTGGAGTGATATACAGTGGTTCTATAACCTACGGTGGTTAGGGTGCTTGCCTTGCATTGGGTGACCCGAGTCTATCCCCAGCACCCTGTGTGATCCGGTGAATTCTCCAGGAGTGATCCCTGAGTGCAAAGCCAGGTGTCAGCCTTGAGCACCGCCAGGTGTGGCCAAAATTAAAGGAAAGCATTTGCTGGCTGGGTGGGAGAAAGCACAGCGAGGAGGGCGCATGCCTTACACACAGCCCACCAGGGTTCAATCCCCGTCATCCCATACAGACGCTGCCAGGAGTCATCCTTGAGCACAGAGCCACGAGTCAGTCCTGAGCACAGTCAGGGGAAGCGAACATATAAAAATATTGCAGGTCAGGGGCCGGGGCGATAGCACAGCGTGTAGGGCGTTTGCCTTGCACACGGCCAACCCGGGTTTGATTCCCAGCATCCCATAGGGTCCCCCAGCACCGCCAGGAGTGACTCCTGAGTGCGGAGCCAGGAGGAACCCCTGTGCATCGCCGGGTGTGACCCAAAAAGAAAAAAAAAAAGAGAAAAACTTGCAGGTCAAGCCCACACTCCGGCTTGGCGGGCGGGGCTCCGGGGCTGGGGGAGGCCTCCCGTGCTCACCTGCTCCCCCCCCCCCCGCCCCCCAGGGCTGCTCCGCGCCAGCCTGTCGGAGGAGCGCGCGGGGCTGGTGTCCGTGAACCTCCTGGTGACGTCGTCGGTGGCCGCGTTCGTGGTGGGCGCCGTGGTCTCAGGCTTCACCGTGGGTTGGTACGTGGGGCTGCGCGAGCGGCGCGAGGCGGCGCGACGCAAGGACAAGGAGGCAATCCTGGCGCACGGCGCGGGCGAGGCGGTGCTGAGCGTCAGCCGGCTGGGCGAGCGCCGCGGTGGCGGCCCGGGGGTCCGGGGCGGCGTGGGCGCGGGGGCCGGCCCCGGGGGTCCCCCGGAGGCGCTGCTGGCCCCGCTGATGCAGAACGGCTGGACCGCGGCCACGCTGCTGCAGGGCGGCCCCCACGACCTGGACTCGGGGCTGCTGCCCACGCCCGAGCAGACGCCGCTGCCGCAGAAGCGCCTGCCCACGCCGCACCCCCACCACGCGCTGGCCCCCCGCGCCTGGGAGCACGGCCACGCGCTGCTGACCGCCTCCGCCTCCTCGTCCCTCCTGCTGCTCGCCCCGGCCCGCGGCCCCGAGCAGCCGGGACCCCCCGCGCCGGGCCTGGAGCCGAGCCTCGACGCGCGCCTCTACGCGCCTCGGCCCGGCCGCGCGTCCCACGGGGCCGCCGGCGACTTCCCGCTCACCCCGCACGCCAGCCCGGACCGCCGGCGCGTGGTGTCGGCGCCCACCGGCCCCTCGGACCCAAACTCCGCGCCCTCCGCCGGCGACAGCCTGAGCCGCGCCTGGAGCCCCCCGCCCACCGGCAGCCTCCGGAGACCCGGGCCCCACGCGCCTCCCGCCGCCGCGCTGCGACGCACGCACACGTTCAACAGCGGCCCCGGGGAGCGGCCCCGCGGGCGCCACGCGCGGCCCAGCACGGACTTGGCCCACCTGCTCTCCTACGGGGGCACGGACAGGACTGCACCCCCCGTGCCCTAGGCGGGGGCGCGGGGCAGCGCGGGGCAGCCTTCCCGCTCCGCACGACGCCTCGGCGGTGCCAGCCACGGTTTTCTAGGAGCGCGAGCGGCGGGCCGGCACCCAGCGGTGCTCGGGAGCCCCTCGTGCCCGCCGCGTGGAAGTGGAAGCACAAGTTCCTCGACCTCCGTGGAAGCGCCACCGTCGCCCCCACCCCTTTCCGCCGGGGCCGCAGACGCTGAGGCGGTTTGGGGAGAGGGTGAGGGGCACCCAGGGTGGGGCGGGAGGAACGTGCTGTGGGCTTGAAGTGGACCTTCTGCGTGCGCGCGGGGATGTTTGGTTTTCCAACTTGCATTTCTTTGGCAGTTTTTTTGGGGGGGTTGTTTTTTTCTTCTAACAATTGCACAACTCCGTTTTCGGGGTGAAGGGCCGGGGGAGGGGGGCTCAAGGCGGAGGTGGGGTGGGGTGGTGTCTGTGGAAGGGGCAAGGGGCTCAGAGTTGCAGATAGCCCCCTCCCCGCCACACCGAGCCCTCCGTCCGCGCCCCCGGCAGCCGGCGCGCGTGCGTGTGTGTGTGCGTGTGTGCGCGTGTGTGCATGCTGTTTTTGTGTGCAAGGAGCCGGGAAAACATCTGTGTGTGTCTGTGGGCTGCCGTGCGGCGCGTGCGTGTCTGTGTGCGAGCGGGGGCTCCTCCCACCCCCCAGCGGTCTGGCCGTTGGCTGAGCCAACGCAGCAGCGTCGCTTCCAGACGGCCCTGGGGCCTCCAAGGAGCCGGTTCAGACTTTTAAGGGGAGGCGGGAGGGGGCTTCAGGGCCCCCCACACCCCAGGGTCTGCCCAGACGCCCTGTTGGCAACAGCTGCCAGAAGGGCTTCGTCTTGGGGGCTTTGGGCAAAGAGGGGGGAGCCCCCTGTAAATAAGGCCCTGGGGGGTCAGAGGGTCCCGGCCACCTGTCCCCTTGTGACCTCTTGACCGCGGCTGACCATGCATGCCAGTGGCCAGCAGGGTCCTGGACCCTCTCTGAACTTACCTCCCTCAGCCCCCTCCCCATCAATAAAACTGTTTACAACCACCGGCCCCCAGACCCTGTTTCAGCTCTGTGGGGGGTGGGGGGACCAGGGTCTTGGGCATCATGGGGTTACCCTTCCACATACACAGCGCCCGCACCTCACCCCTTCCCTGCCTCAGGGAGACGCATCACAGAGAAGCAAGTTAGAACTTGAGCTGCCAGAGATAGTGGAGTGGGTTGGGCGCTGGCCTCACGTTGGGCCAGTGTGACCCCCTGCACCACACTGGGTCCTCAGAGCCCTCCAGGAGGGATCCTCAGCCCTGAGCGTCGCCGATGTGACCCCAAAACAACAAAACATGCTTTGAATCTCCTGAAGTTTATGTTTATTTCGGGAGGAGTTAGCTACACACCCCCAGTGAATAATCACGTAGGGGCTGGAGTGGGGAGGCCGTTTGGACCTGCCAACCCAGGTTCAATCACTGGCACCCCTAAGGATCCCCTGAGCCCCGCCAGGGGTGATCCCTGGACACAGAACCAGGAGTCAGCCCCAAGCACTGCTGGGTGTGGCCCCCAAACCCAAAAAACGTTAATCAAAATAATTTAAACACAAGGTTCAGAGAATTCAAAGCCTGGTGTTTGGTCCTTCCACGCCACTGTTCAGAGATCTGGGTGCCCTGCCATCAGCCACTTTTGAACTCCTTTTTAAAATTCTCTCCATGAATCAAAACAATATGTCAGGAATTCCAGACAAGTTCTTTTTTTCTTCTTCCTGTGCACTGAACGTTCTGATCACACAGATTCGTCATCAACATTTCCAGCTCAGAGAGCGCCCCCCCACCCCAGGGCAGCTTCAGTCCTGGGGGCAGGAAGGAAAGCTGGACACTGGCCCCCAAGACTCAGCCCCTCCCCCGCCCCGCTGTCCCTAACGCAGGAACTCAAGGGGTGAGGGGGGAACCGAGTCAAAGCCCAGCTGAGGGGGGTGAGGGCCCCACCCAGCTGCCTCCCCTGCCAGGAAGCCGTTTTGCAATCTTCACCCCACCTTCTCCTGGCTGGCCCTGGCCAAAGCTCAGCTCCTGACTGAACGGAAATGGGTGGGGATGTCCCTGTGCCATACCCCTGCCCCCTGCCCAGGTTTAAGGCCACCTCTCAGGACCAAGCAAGGAGAAGAGTGAGAGGTCGCCATGTCCCCTGGGAGCCGAGAGCAAACCCACAGGTAAGTTGAACCCAGCTCCACCACCCGGGAGGGCTGTGAGAATTGTTCTTTGGTTTGTTGTTTTTGCTCTTTGGGTCACGTTCACTCCAGCCCCTCACGTTCTTTTTAAAAATTCCTTTTTGGGCAACATCCCGCAATGCTCAGGAGCCGCTTCCAGAGGTACTTAGGGAACCAAGTGGTGCCAGGGATCAAACCGGAACTTCCTGCTTTCAAAGCCCCTCAAGGGGCTGGAGTGATAGCACAGCGGGTAGGGCGTTTGCGTTGCACGCAGCCAACCTGGGTTCGATTCCCAACATCCCACATGGTCCCCTGAGTACAGCCAGGGATAATTCCTGAGTGCAGGGCCAGAAGTAATCTCTGTGCATCACTGGGTGTGACACCCCCTAAAAAAAAAAAGGAAAGCGAAGCCCCTTGCTCTGCACTGGGTATGGCCTCCAAACCCAAAAAGTAAAATCGGTCCAAATGAATATCTCGTGTGATTGCCCGCAGCCCCGGGGGCCTGACGCCCCATCTTTCCAGAACCCTGATCCTGATCCTGCTCATCGTGGCTTCCAGCCCGCACCCCGACGCCTGCGTCGTGGTCCCCTTGGAAAATGGCACGTCCGTCACCTGCCATCCCCCAGCGCAGGTGCCTCGTTCGCTGCCAGCCGACACCATCCACCTGGTAGTGGAGTTCTTCAACCTCACGCAGCTGCCCGCGGGCATCCTCTGGGGTGTCCCCGACCTCCAGGACCTGCATCTCTCCAGCAACCGGCTGGAGAACCTCTCTGCGACTTTCCTGCTGCAGGTGCCTCGACTCCAGGTGCTGGATCTCACGCGCAACGCCCTGGCCCGGCTGCCCCCTGGGCTCTTCCGGCGCTCGGCCGCCCTCTGCACTCTGGTGCTGAAGGAGAACCGGCTGGCGACCCTGGACCGCTCATGGCTGCAGGACCTGGGTGCCCTGGAGCATCTGGACGCGTCAGGGAACCAGCTCCGGGAGCTGCCCCCCGGACTGCTGGCCAACCTCACCCGGCTGCGAATCCTGGACCTGAGCGCTAACCAGCTGGACGCTCTGCCTGAGGACCTCCTCTGGGGCCCTGTGAATTTGGAGCATTTGCATCTCGAGGGCAACCGGCTGCGGGTGCTGGGCGCCGAGCTGCTGGCCCCACAGCGCAACCTGCGCTTCCTTTTCCTGGGGGATAATGAGCTGAGCGAGGTGGCGGCCGGCGCCTTCCGCAACTTGCGGCAGCTGGACATGCTGGACCTGTCCAACAACTCGCTGAGCCGCGTGCCCGAGGGTCTCTGGGCCTCCCTAGGGCGGCCCAGCCGGGACATGGAGGACGGATTTGACCTTTCCAGGAACCCCTGGGTCTGCGACCAGGCCCTGCGCGACCTCTATGACTGGCTGCTGGTCAATCAGGAAAAGATGTTCTCTCGCGATGACACCCGCTGTGCGGAGCCTGTGGCTCTTCAGGGCCAGACGCTGCTGACAGTGGCCCAGGATCCCTGAGGGCGGGGGTAGGGGTGCTGCAGAACCCCACTTTGCAGACAGGTACACGGTCCCCTTTCCAAGGCTGGGGACCCTTTCTGCAGGCCCAACCTTTTCTACTCTTCTAGATGAACCTTTTCCTGTGTTTCCAGATCCCTCTGTGGGGACCCTCAACCAGACCCCCCATAACAGTGCGCGCGCGCGCACACACACACACACACACACACACACACACACAAACCCCACAGATGGACTTTGCTTGGTCCTTCTGCCTGAGTTTGAGGGGCTTTTTCTGAATGCAAGTTCTGGGATGGAGTCCCCTCTGCTAGACATCCCTTGGGGCTCGCCAAAGGAATTAATAAATAACTTGAGCAGAACCAAGTGAATCGGGTTCCATGCTTCCCCTCCCCCCTCCTCAACCCCCCCCCCTTTTCTCCCTTCCTCCCTCCCCAGGGTGATGGAGAAGGAATTCTGTTAGACCCAGAGGTGCAGAACATGAATGCCCACGTGGATGATAATTGGGGCACCATGGTTGGTGGCTGTTCACCCGCCCTTACCTCCAATCCCCAGGGCTTAGCTGGAAATAAATCCCAGACCATTGCCCCGTGTCACTTTACAGCTGGATTCCTGCCAGAACTTGTGCCCTGGGGAAGGTTGAAATTAAACCAGATTGCTTCAGGTTTCCAAACAATTTGTTTTACTCGCCCCTGCTAAACCAGGGGGCAGCCATCCTTCGGTTCAGCTGCACGGGGCTAAGCAGACCCCTGTAAAAGACTGCGTTTCCACCACACCCAGTCTGGGTCCCACCCCATCCCCTGGCCCCTCCTTGCAACACCATATGGGGGTACTGGAGTCAGACTTGGGAAACGCTGGGATCTTTATAGCCTCACCTCACCCCCAGTCTCTCGCCCTTGATGTGCTTGATGAGGAAACTCTGGACTTTGGAATTTGGCAGAGCGGAATTTCAATGGCTCCCTCAGTCGCTCTGAGAGCCAGGGCAGGTGTTCTAAGTTACTGGGACCTCAACCACGGTAAAAGCGGTGTCCAAGGCAATAAGCCCATCTAGTTCCTGCTTGCCTGAAGTGCCTGCTTTTATTCGTCATTAAAGGTAAAAGGTAAAGGCCCTCCCGTTGATCGTCGATTTGCTCGAGCCGGCCCAGTAACGTCTCCATTGGAGACTTTGTTGTTACTGTGTCTGGCATATCGAATACTCTCGGTAGCTTGCCGGGCTCTCCGAGAGGGGCGGAGGAATCGAACTCGGGGCGGCCATGTTGGCTGCGTGCAAGGCAGACGCCCTACCGCTGTGCTATCGCTCCAGCCCATTATTTATTCTTTTTCAGTTTGCGGTGTTCGGGGCTTACTCCTGTCTCCACTGGAGCTCAGGGCACCATAAGTGGTGCCGCAGATCAAACTCGAACAGAACTGGCCGCATGCAAAGCAAGACTCTTAAGGCCTGTACTATTTCTCCAAGTTCCAAACTCCATTTTTTTCGTTTCGTTCTGACGTTTTTTTGAGGGGGTCACACCCAGCGGTGCTCAGGGTTGATTCCTGGCTCTGCGCTCAGGGGTCACTCCTGGCGATGCTCCGGGGACCCTACGGGATGCCGGGGATTGAACCCGGTTGGCCAGACAACGAAGCGCCTTCCCCCTGTGCTCTCTGCAGCCCTCCAGGCGCCAGGTCCTAACTGACGTTTAAAAAAAGAAAGGCCTTGAGGCCCTGCCCAAGGTCGTTTGACCAGGCGGTGGGGGCTGTGACAGAGGCGAGGGTGACAGGTGGCCAAACTTGGCGCACAGAAGCCGCAGCGCATTTCTTGGATGGCGAGCGTCTTCACGTTACTATGGCAACAGTGGCCAGAGCGCCCAGGCCTGCGGGGGCGGAGCCTGGAGCCCCGCCCTGGCCCCGCCCCCAGGATAAGCTCTCCTCATTGGTCGGTGCCAGGGCCCCGCCCACCGGCCACTATAAAGAGGATGGGGCGGCTGGGAGCGGAGCCTGGAGGGAGCCTGGGGTCCTTGGAGGTATGTGAGGGTCTGAGGCTGCCTGCGTCAGCCTGGGGAGTGTGGCCTACACAGGTCCGGGTCACCCCAATCAGTGGGTGGAAGGAAGGTTTGGGCATACAGGGAGGGGAGAGGAGTGGAGTGACCGAATGGAGCAGGTGGCTGGACCCTTGGCCTAGTTGGCTGAAGCCCAGGACTCTGTTGGCCGTGGACCAGGCGTTAAGGGCACCGGGTGGGCATGAAAAAGGAACGGCAGGAGGGGCGCCTGGGGCGGCAGCGCGCCCCCTTGCCCTGCCTTATCAGCGCACTGACCTTGGGATCAGCGTAGGGCTGCTGGCTGCCTCAGTTTCCCTTTCTGTCAAAAAGGGATTGTGGGTACAGGTCGATTCTGCAGCTGCCCCCCTCCCCCCCACACCCTCCTACCTGCAGGGGGACACTTGGGGGCAGCAGGCACCTGACGGCTTTGCAGCGGCGGTGAAGAATTGAGCCCGAAGTCACACAGCAGGTAAACGCCAAGAGAAGAAACCCAGGTCCCTCTCTCCCCATCGCCCCTGCTTTGACTCGCACCGGGCGCCCCACTCACAGAAACTCTGTGATACCGCTGGGCCTTGTGCACACGCGTCATCACCTCCCAAAGCGGGTCTGCCGGCCCCTAGGGGAGACAGGGCTTAAGAGGAAAGGGACATTTGCATGGATTGTTGCAAGAGCCACCCGAGGAATCCCGAGACCTGGGTGGGGGGGAAGCCGGGGGTCGGCAGTGCTCGGTTCCTCCCCGCCCCCTTCTCACAAGGTACCGGCCCCCAGGGGTGCCCACTGGAAGCCAGAATGTCTGAAAGTGAGTCAGCTCAGGCCCCGAGTCCCAGCGTGTGGGAACCTGACCAGCAGGTAAGGCGCTGCCCCTCCTGAGCGCAGGGCGCAGGGAGTGTATTGGGGGCTTCTGGGGGGTCCAGCCCATCTTCCCCGTTTCCCTTGAGGCCCAGAGAGGGGCGTGTTCACCCTACAGCATCTCCGGCGCGAAACTTAACTGGCATCTGACCACCATAATGGCGTCGGACTGAGATGAGAGACAGCGAGCGAGGAGGGCTCCTGTCTCACGAGTGGGGACCCGCATTCGATCCCCAGAATCTCATAGGATCTCCCAAGAAGCACCCCCAGGAGTGATTCCTGAACACAGAGAGGGGAGTTACCAAATAGTACCACTGGGTGAGCAGTGGGTGTGGCCCCCAAACCGTATGATAATAATAATAATAGTGCCAGGTGCAGTATATATACCCAAGATAAATCGATGCACACGTTGCATGAAACATTGCACTCTTCCTCTGAATTCCCCCATCCAGGCCGGCTGAGAAACCCATTTGTATAGGTGGGAAGATTGAGGCTGGGCGTGTGCCGCCACTAGCGGGCGCGCATGGCACGTGGCACGCTTTGCCCCGGCCCCTGCGCCCGTCCCTTCGCGTCCCCAGAGGGCAGGTGGGCCAAGCCCCCCGCGCCCAGGCTTCCCCAGCTCTGTGCCCCCTCACTCAGAACGCAGTGCAGCGTGTGGCGGCGCTGCCCCTGGTCAGGAGCACGTGCTCGGCCGTGTCGGGCGCCTACAGCGCCGCCAAGGACAAGTATCCGCTGCTGGGCTCCGCCTGCCGCCTGGCCGAGCACTGCGCGTCGGACCTCACCACCCGCGCCCTGGACCACGCTCAGCCGCTGCTCAGCCACCTGCAGCCCCAGAGTGAGTGCTCCAGCCCCCGCCCTGCCCCGCGCCGAGAAGGGCCTCGAGTCCCCGCCCGGGATCCCTCTGGACGGGCTCTCGCCGGGCTCGCCACCTGGGCGTCCCCGCTCACCTTCCTGCAAGGGGGGGTTGCTGCGGAGGGGGGTGACCCGCCGCCGTAGGCACAGCCTCACTCTCCCTGCCCGTCCCCGACATGCCCGGGCCCATTGGCCTGGTCCCCTCCCTCGGCCTCCCTCCCTTTGCCACCTGTCCCTGCGTCCGTCAGTCCGGCCTGTCCTGAGCTGACTCTGCAGGAGAGGTCCCCTAGCGAGCGAGCGAGCAAGCGGCGCCCCGGGCTCCCCGATGGACGGGCGGAGGAGGCGGGACCAGGCACCTCACGCTCTCCCTGTCTGTCTCTCCCGGGGCCTCTCTCCCACCCAGTGGCCACCATGAACCACCTGGCCTGCAGAGGCCTGGACAAGCTGGAGCAGAAGCTTCCGTTCCTGCAACAGCCTTCCCAGATGGTACCGCCTGGCCGGGCTGGACTGGGCCGGGGCAGGGGGGCTGGGGGCAGGGAGGCTCTCAGGGCCCACATCCACCCGCTTTTGTGTTTTATTTGTTGCGCTCAGGTTTGGGCCTGGGGGCTGCCTCCCCCGCAGCAGTGCTTGGGGGCCGCCCGGTTCTGTGCTCAGGGCTTGCTCTGGGCAGTGCTCAGGGGGTATGGATGGCATCCCGGGGCTCCAACATGTGTAGCGTGCGCTCAGCCCACCGAGCCCTCTCCGGCTCCTGTTTTCCTTTTTTAAAGTTTGGGCCGCACCTGGCAGTGCTCAGGGGACACTCCCGGCTCAGTGCTCTCGGAGGGACCATGTGGTGCTGCGGCTGGAATTGGGGTCTCCGGCGTTCTCTTTTCCACCCACCCAGACTTACCTGTTTTTCAACGGGCAAAAACATTCCTCACCCACAGTCCATCCCTGCGCCCATCCTGTTTGCCACGAGTTGGGGAAACTGAGGCTCAGAGCCTGGAATCCCTGAGCCCACACCCAGGGGCACGGAGACTCAGGGACGGTGCCCAGAGTGTCCCCTGCCTCCAGGTAGTGACCTCGGCCAAGGACGCTGTGGCCAGCGGCGTGACGGGTGTGGTGGGCTTGGCCCAGAAGAGTCGCCGTTGGAGCGTGGAGCTGAAGCGCTCCGTGAGCCACGCCGTGGATGTGGTGCTGGGCAAGTCGGAAGAGCTGGTGGACCACTTCCTGCCCATGACGGAGGAGGAGCTCGGTGAGGCTGCCCCAGCCCCAGCCCGGTCCCGGGACCTTCCTGATCAGAGAGGTCCGGGGCCCTCGCGAGGCCACACAGCTTCCTCCCGTCCAAACTTGCTCCTCGTCGGAAATCCGACCCCCAGGGTCTCAAATTGGGGGATCCCCGCCCCAACTGTGTCATTTGGTCTCTGACGTGGCCTGCCGCAGTTCGGGCACTTAACAGTCCGACTTTGCGTGCCGGACTGTGAGCTGCAACTGGCCTGGGAGCGCCGAGAGCTCCGGGGCGCCCTCTCGTGGCTGCGGTGGGAAAGACAGGTGAGGGGGCCGAGAGGCGCGGCCGGGCCCGGCTGCTCAAGACGCCCTCTACTGGCCGCTTTAGGAAGTCCCTTTACCGCCTGGGCTGGACGCCAGTGTCCGCGGCTTCAATCCCCCGCATCCCCTCGGGTCCCCTGAGCGCCGCCAGGAGTGACTCCTGAGCGCAGAGCCAGGAGTAACTCCTGAGCATGCTGGGTCTGGCCCCGAACCAATAAGTAAGGGTGTCTTTCTTCAGAGTTTGGCATCTTGCCCGTCTTATTGGGCAATCGGGGACCCCAGAGACGATACCGGTCTCCATCTCTATTTATTATTATTATTAACTTTTTTTTGCTTGTTGGGTCACACCCAGCGATGCACAGGGGTCACTCCTGGCTCTGTACTCAGGAATTACCCCTGGCGGTGCTCAGGGGACCGTATGGGATGCTGGGAATCGAACCCGGGTCGGCCGGGTGCAAGGCAAACGCCCTCCCCGCTGTGCTCTCTCTCTGCCCACTCCTCCTCTCCATTTTTGAAGGGTGTTTGCCTTGATTTCCCCCCACACACACCTGAGGCCTGGGGGGAGCCTAAGGGGTCCCCATTAGCAAAGGGAAATGATGATTCTTACAGCTCAAGAGCTCAGAAGGGGGTGAGCAGATATACAGTGGGTGACCCCCATCCCAGCCCCCTCCCTGTCCTGCCCCCCCAGTGGCGCTGGCGGCTGAGGCTGAGGGTCCTGAGGTGGGCTCGCTGGAAGAGCAGCGGAAGCAGCAAGGCTACTTTGTCCGCCTGGGCTCCCTGTCGGCGCGGCTCCGCCACCTGGCGTATGAACACTCCCTGGGAAAACTGAGGCAAAGGAAACACCAAGCCCAGGATACACTGGCCCAGCTGCAGGAGGCCCTGGAGCTGGTGAGAGCCCCCTTTGCGTGTTCCAGGGTTCCGACGACAGGGGCCACCCCTGGCAGGGCTCGGGGGACCCTGTGGGATGCCAGGGATCGTACCCGGGTCGGCCATGTGCAAGGCGGTCACCCTGAGTGTAAAGCGCTGCTTGGGGCAACTGACCAGACCTCCGGCCTGACCCAGGCACCGGGCACAAGCACCGATCACGTGGCAAGGACTCAACACACACTTGATGCTTGAGCGGTGAGTCAGCTGAGCTGTGGGGCCCAGTCACTGCCCCGTGAACAGTGGAGCAGTCCTTCACACGAGGGCACGTGCGACCCATCACACATAGCCCAGCGCACTCCGTGTGGAACCACGGACCGAGGCTGGAGCACACCGGGGAGGGCTGGCCTTGCACGTGGCCCAACCTGGGTTTGATCGCTGGCACCCCACACGGTCCCCCGAACACCTGCCAGCAGTGATTCCTGAGCGCAGTGTCGGGAGTCAGCCCTGAGCACTGTCAGGTGTGACCTAAAACAAACCAATCAACCACATTGTGGCCATGTCCTAGCAGGCAGCGGAAGACCCAAGGCTCCTCCACTCCCAGGGTCTTGCCGTCCACCCCATCATCCTCTCTAGAATGTTCCCTACCCCCACCGAAACTCTGTCCCCATGCAACACCCTCTCCTCTCTCCTTTCCTGCCCCTGATAGCACCTTCCACTCGCTCTAAATGCTGTCTCTTTGGACGGGGTGGGGGTAGGGGTGGGCGGTCTGGGGGGTGTGACTGAGTACATACTGAGTACATACTTGCCCTGGCAAGTCTGTCTCATGTTGGGCTGGAGCACCACGGGGAGGGCGTTTGCCTTGCACGCGGCCGACCCAGGTTCGATTCCCAGCATCCCATAGGGTCCCCTGAGCATCGCCAGGAGTAATTCCTGAGTGCAGAGCCAGGAGGAACCCCTGTGCATCGCCGGGTGTGACCCAAAACAAAAGCAAAACCAAAAGTCTGTTTCATGTCACTGATCCTCATGTTTTCTGGGTACTCTCTCCCCATGTTGTGGGTTTAGAATGTTCTGTCTCTTAAGACTGTGTTCCAGAGCAAGAAGAGATCACGATGTATTTTATTGTAACACTGCCCTGTTCTGGGCACTGGGGGCGCTGTGCTCACACACACACAGGTCCCTCAAAATAGAGGAATCAAGGTCATGATGGGCATGAGCTGCGTGATGGGGGATCCAGAGGAGGAATCTGTCCAGCTAGCAGGGCAGGAGGGAAGGCTTCCTGAAAGGGGTGGCCAGTGAACCGAAACTTGAATTGCTGTGAACCGGGGCAGGGGTCGGCATGAGCAAGGGCCTGGCTGAGTCTGGGCGGAAGGGAAGTAGAGGCCATAAGTCAGAGGACAGAGGAGAGAAAGGACAGGTTGGGCAGGTGAGATGGGCAGGTGTGAAGGTGGTGTCAGACACCACTGCCTTGAATGCTCACGGAGGGGCCAGAGTGATCGGACAGCAGGAAGGTGTTTGCCTTGCATGCGGCCGAGCCGGGTTCGATCCCCGGCACCCCATAGGGTTCCCTGAGTCCTGCCAGGAGTGATCCCTGAGCACAGAGCCAGGAGTCAGCCCCGAGCACCAGCAGTGCAGTCCAAGAAACAAACAAAAAAGAATTTCTTTTTCTTTTGGGGTCACACTGGTTGATGCACAGGGGCCACTCCTGGCTCATGCACTCAGGAATCACTCCTGGCGGTGCTCGGGGGACCCTATGGGATGCTGGGAATCGAACCCGGGTTGGCTTTGTGCAAGGCAATCGCCCTATTCGCTGTGCTATCACTCCATCCCCCCAAAATAATCATTTTTTAAAAAGTGCTCTTGGAGGCTGAGTGTGTGGGGGGCGTCCTGGTTCCCTCAGCCCCCAGGCTTGAGTCTCCCTCCATCCCTGTCCCTGCAGATCGACCTCATGCAGTGTGGCGCGAACCCCAGAGCCCCGGGCCGCTCCGGGAAGGTCCTGGAGCTATGGGAAGATTGGAGCCAGAGCCCCCCTGAAAACGGGTGCACCCGCTCTCAGGTAGAAGGGCAGAAGAGGGGGCTGGGGAGCACCATGGGTCAGACCCCGGAGGGGCGTGTACCAGGGGTCAGAGGCTGGAACGCACTTAAGTGCTGAGACCAGATTGGAGGGTGTCACCAGGGGAAACTGAGGCAGGAAGGACTATGGTGTTGTGGAGAGTTCATGGGACACGGGAGAGGAGAGACAGAACCATCTTGGGTTGTCTCTGGGGAAGCTGAGGCAGGTCAGTGGTTTCCTGGAGGGTCTGGGTTGGGGGAACTGAGGCAGGGTATTCCTGGGGAAATGGGGGCCGCGGGCCAGAGCAACAGGACAGCAGGGAGGGCACTGGCCTTGCATGTGGCCAACCCGGGTTCTATCCCTGGCATACCATATGGTCCCCCGAGCCCCGCCAGGAGCCAGGAGTGATTCTTGAGCACAGGAGTCATCCCTGAGCATCACCGGGTGTGGCACCCCGAGAGAGAGAGAGAGAGAGAGAGAGAGAGAGAGAGAGAGAGAGAGAGAGAGAGAGAGAGAAACTGGTCCGTAGCCTTCTCGAACATGGTCAACAGCCACATCTGTGCGGAGACAGACCTTTGACTGGGCTATGTGGGACACGTGGCAGGGAGCCAGCCCCGCTGAGAGCCTCTTGAAACTGAGGCAGAGAAATGGTGGTCCTGAGGTGGGGGTCAGGGGAGTATCATTGGAAAACGGAGGCAGAGAGATGCTCCCCTGGGAGTCCGAGGGGGAGCTGAGGCCGAGAGCCCGTCCCAAGGGTGCTGGAAACAGAGTGGCGTGCGCTGCTTCCCGCGGGCTCCCACGGGGAAACTGAGGCCGGGCGGCTTGTCGTCCCCCCCCCCCCCCCCCCCCCCCCGCCCCAGGCGGAGCTGGAGACACTGTCGCTGTCGCGCAGCCTGATGCGGGAGCTGCAAGGCTCGGTGGACGCGCTGGAGGGCAGCGTGCGGGGCCTGCCGGCCGGCGCGCAGGACAAGGTGGCCGAAGTGCGGCGGCGGGTCGACGCGCTGCAGGCCGCCTTCGCCGACGCGCGCTGCCTGCGGGACGTGCCGGCCGCCGCGCTGGCCGAGGGCAGGGGCAGCCTGGCCCGCGCGCACGCCTGCGTGGACGAGCTGCTGGAGCTGGTGCTGCAGGCCGTGCCCCTTCCCTGGCTGGTCGGGCCCTTCTCCCCGCTGCTCCTGGAGCGCCCCGAGACGCCCCGCGACCTGTCCGTCTGGGTGGACGAGGTGGTCGGAGCCCCCGACCCGCGCTGGGCGCACCTGGACTGGCCGGCCCAGCAGAGGGCCTGGGAGGCCCAGCACGGGGACGCGGGCATGGTGCTCCCCGAGGAGCAGCCGGAAACCTCCCAGACGCCCAGGCACACGCTGGTGCCCGAGGAGGAGCCGGAACCCCCCCGGACGCCCAGGCACACGCTGATGCCCGAGCTGGACTTCTGACCCCGCCGGGGCTCTGCTGCCCCCTCGTGGACGTGGCGGAGAACTGCAGACCAGTCTCCACCGTGCTGGTGGACTCAGGGACTTGGGGTGCGGGGCCCCCCCACTAACCCCCACTGCTGACTTTTGTCTCTCGCTACGGGGGTTCTTCCCCCAGCACCCTAGGAGCTGCTCATGAAAGGCTCCCAGGGAACGTGCCTTTGAGCCTGGCGGTAGCGGGGAAGGGAAAGAACTCTGAGCCAGCTCCAGCCCGCTTGGCCGTGTGGACTGAAAAAAGATTCCCCCAGTGGGGCTCGAGGAACCGGGCCTCGGCGAGGGTGCCGGGCCTGGCATGCAGCCGACCTGGGTTCGATCCCCGGCATCTTCCTTAGGGCCCGGGAATGATTCCCGAGCATGAGCACAGAGCCAGGAGTCAGGCCTAAGCACGGAAAAAAAAGATAAGAAAAATGCCTGCAGACATTCTGCCACAACCAGCAAGGCCACAGGCCTCTCGCTTTGGCTGCTTTGGAGTTTCTGTCCCTGAAATAAAGGTGCTTTGTGTTGTCTTAAGGTCCGTGGTGGCCTCCGTGGGGCTCAGAGTGGGGGTCGGGGGAGGGAGGCCCTAGGACCCCCTGTGACTGGCTGACCTCCCAGAGGAAGGGAGTGATGCTTGTCCCAGTCCTGGCTGGAGTCGGTGAAGCATTGTTCCCTCCCCCCACCCAACCTAGAAGGCAGTCATTCACACTTTAGTATAAGCAAACACACCATCACCATCTACCCTAGCCTGGAGCGGGATCTGAAACAGGAAGAAAGCAGCCGGGCAGGGCCACCGGCTGAGGTCCATCTCCTTGGGCCCTGCAGCAGCAACACCCACCTCTAGCTGCACTGGTCAGGATGGGAAACTGAGTCAGGGCCCTGGTGTTAATCGTTATGGGCAGGAGTGGGCATTCCAGAGCAGAGGCACTGCTGTCCTCTGACCGCATTCCTGGCTGCCCCACGGACCTCCCCGGGGAGCCCCCGGGTGTTAGGAAAGTGCAGTGAGCTCACGGCGGCCCCTGGCTTCCCTGGAGCCAGCCCAAAATTGGTGCTCCCTGGAGCCCTAGTCACTTCCTGTGCCCTCCGTGGCTCTCTGCCACCCTCAGACCCCAGATAAAGGCGCTTTGCCTTGGACTTTGGCCCTGTTCAGTTGTTTTCTGGTGGGGGATGGGGTGGGTGGGTGGTACTCAGGGACTACTCCTGGTGCGTTGCTCCAGAAATCACTCCTGGCAGGACATGAGGGACCATGGGGTGACTGGGATCAAACCTGCATCTGGGGGTCTGGAGTGATAGGACAGTCAGTATCTCCAGTTCCAAAGCCACCTCCTCCAGGAAGCCTTTCCTGATTCCGCCAAGGTGGGAAAGCTCTGATTCTTTTCTGTCTTCTGCACCCCACTTCCTGAGGGCTCCAAGTTCTTTCTACTTTCACTCAGCCAACGTGGGTTCCATTCCTGGCACCAGAGAAGGTCCCCTGAGCACTTCTAGGAGTGATTCCTGAGTGCAGAGCCAGGAGTAACCTCTGAATGTTGCTGGGTGTGGCCCCCCACAAAATAAAGCAAAAGGATCAAGGTAACCTCTGCAATTTGGGGATATCAAGCCCCACCCCTGCGCCCTGGGAATGATGTCCCAGATCGTTTCCATCTGGGAAGGCAAGAAGAAAGAAAGTGGTGGACCTGGGGTGACAGCACAATGGGCTTCGCACATAGCCAACCTGGGTTCAACCCCACAGGCTCCCCTGAGCACCACCAGGAGTGATCCCTGAGCACAGAGACTGGAGCCAGCCTCGAGCACTGCCACTCGTGACCCAGAATTAAAAAAAGAAAAAGACAAAGAAAGTGATCTATATGTCTTTATCTCACATCAGTACGAGTGGGAGGATGGGGCGTGGGCGTGGGGCCCTTCGAGGAAGGATGTGTCCTTTTGCAATAGGAGAGGGCAGTCCAGGAAGGCCTCTTGGAAGAGGTGACAATTAGACAAAGCACCTGGAAAGATATGAGGGATTTGAGGGGGGGGGGGTGATCCGGGTGGGAGCCGCGGCTGAGGCAAAGGTGCTGGGGCAGGATGGGGAGGAAGAGCGAGAGGCCCCATGGGGCTGGGGAAGAGGGAGGAGGCAGGGAGGGGCGGGGACAGCGTCGGATCTGGTGGGTCTCCAGAACTTGGCTGCCCTCCAGGGCCTCCTGAGACTGTCCCGGCCGTGGGAACACGCAGGGCTCCACCCCCCGCCCTGCCGCCTTCAGGAGGTGCTGGCTGGGAGACAGGCTTGGGGGGGACACACACCCGCTTTCGCTTGGACTGTTTGGCAAACATGGCCGGTCTCCACGGAGACGGCCCAGAGCGAGAAGGCCTGGAGTCCAAAACTAAACTTCGCTCCCCTCCCCTCCCCACCAGCGACAGGCAGGGACAACGCTTGGCTCGGGGCACAGGACGCCCTCTCCACCCCGTCCAGAGCACACAGCTTTGGGTGCGGGTCTGAGTCCCCTCTCTGCCACTCTGATTGAGCCAGGGGGGGGCGGTGGACGGGCTCTGCCTGGGGCTACTTCCTCCAGGAAGCCTCCCTGAATTGACAAGCCTTCCTCACATACACACACCCCACGCCCCTCTAATGTCCTCAGGAATGTGGGTGATGTCCTCTCCGGGTCTCTCATTTATTTTTGGCGGGGGGAGGGGCTTGTGGTTCAGAACTTGCTCTGCTCAGGGCTGACTCCTGGCTCTGTGCTCAGGGATGCTCATGGTATGCTGGGGGATGGAACCCAGGTTGGCCCTGTGCAAGGCTGGCACCTGAGTCCTCCAGTCTCCCTTTCTGCCCTTCTGGAAGGCCGTCTCCTGGGGAGTGGCACCCTTGCGCCCACATGCAGCTGCGGCCAGGCCAACGTCACAGATGTGACCTCCTTTGTGTGACCGACGTCTGAGCTGACACCTTTAACCAAACTCTCCCCTGGCCGGGGACACACTGGAGGGGAACTGAGCAGGAGAGATAGTGCCCAGCAGCGGGCATATTCTATGCAAAGGCCCTGAGGCAGCTGGAGCCTGGACCTGTGGAGGGACCATCCAGGCGGCCTCCACAGCTGGGTGGGCTGTTCGGGGCAGAGAGGAGGAGCAGCTGCGGAACTGCCCCCAGCCCCACAGAGAGCAGGACCTGGCAGGAGGGGGAAACCGAGGTAGAAGGCTGGCGCCTGGATGCCTCCCTGCCCGCCTGGCGGGGAGCTGTAGACGCGGTTCCAGTTCCTAGGAGCTGAGCAGCAGAAGCCAAGAGCTGGGGCCGGGCTGGGGGCGGTGCCCCCGGGAGCGTGGGGGGCCAGGAGAGCCCTCGTGAGTCAGCCAGGCTATGCGGGGGCAGCACTGTGGCACAGGCGGCGGGTGTGGACACCAGGGGAAAGGTGCTGGGCCAGGGCCACGCTGGGCCAGGCTGCAGGCACGTGACTGCCCAGGGCCCCTGGCTGCCTGCCCCGGCCGCCCGGCGCCTCCGCCAGACCCTATAAGGGCCGGCAAGTGGAGCCGCGCGGCCGCCAGCTGACGGGCCTTCGCTCCGCGGGACCCTCACGCAGGTCGGTGGGCTGGGGGAGGGGACCGCCTGTACACTTGCAGATGGGCCCCTGGATCACTGCCCAGGCCAAGGGGGCAGGGGAGCCCCCCTTCTCACCCCCATTTCTTTGCCAGCAGCTCTGACCGCTACCATGTCTGCTCGGGACGAAGGAGGCCGGGATCCCCCCAAATCTAAGGGCAAGGTAAGGGGGAGAGCCAGCCGCACCCCCCTTCAGCCAGGACCCTGGAAAAGTGACTTCAGAGGGGGGACTCCCTGTGGCCTTGGCGGTGCCAAGCCTGTCCCCGGTGCCCGTGCATGGGGCTGTGGGGGAGGTGCCCCCGGGGCCCAGTTTCATCCTGCTGTGTGATCTTGGGCCAATCTGAACCTCTCTGAGCCAGGTCCCCCACCTGTGACTCTCAGCCACCCCCAATCTGCCCTGCCTGCTGGGCGAGGACGCTGAGGCTCCGACTGGCCGAGGTGACCTGGGGAGGTGCCAGGCGGAGTGACCCAGAGCTGCTAAATGTTTAACGGCCCCCACCTGCGTGCCCTGCACCCCCTCCTAGGGCCTGAGCAACTTCTTCGGGTCCCTGCCTGGCTTCCGTTCTGCGCGGAACCTCATCAGCAGCACCCACAGAGATGCCCCTGCTGCCCACGCCCAGGCTCAGGGTGAGTGGACGGCGCGGCACACAGGCCGCTTGGGGGGGGGGGTGCTGCCGAGTGCCCACCTCGCTTGTTTACATGCTCCGGGGCCAGCCAGCAGCTTTCGGTGCCAGAGGAGAAACTGAGGCACAGCTCTGGAAGGGGCTGCAAGCGAACACAGCCCACGCCCCGCAGCCCCATCACCCCGACTCTGATACTTTGTGGAAATGGGGGTGTGCGACTGAGGGTCCCAGAGCGGGGGGGGGGGGGAGGTGGGGCTGGAGGGATGGGGCAGGGGCGCCAGCATTAGCCATGCCAAGAGCCTGTGCCCCCCGGAGGGTTCCAGGACCCCTCTTGAGAGAAGAACCAGGAACAGCCTGCGCGCCAGTGGGTGTTTCCCCACCCCAAAAATCCCTTTTTAAAAACCAAAAGCGACACAGGGCCCAGGACGCTGGCCTTGCACACGGCCACCCTGGGTTTGATCCCCGGCACTGCCCTGACCCCTGCCAGGAGTGATCTCTGAGCACAAAGCCAGAAGTCCGCTCTGAGCATCCCTGGGTGGGCCTAAACCCCACCAATACCGAACAGTAGCAAGAGAGAGGTCGCTGCTTCCAGGCTGTCCTCGGGCTCCTCAGGGCTGAGCCACGGCTCCTGACGTTTGTCCCATACCCCGGCCTGGCAGGGCAGCTGTCTGCGAGGGCGGGGATGGGGGAGGCGGGCGGGACGGGGCGGGGGCCACCCACCTCTCCCAGACTGCCGGCACCCCAGAACTCAGGTGTCCGTGTGCGTTGTGGGGGGCTGAGAGGGCACCTCCCGGCAGCCCGGCGGGGACGTCCCTGATCTCTGGGGCTGTGCCTGCAGATTGTGCAATGGGAACCGAACAGCTGATGGCCGCCCGCACCCAGCCCCCGCCTCCCCCCGCCACCCAATGCCTGACCCGTTCCTGTCCCCACAGGGGCCACTGGCCAGGAGCAGATGTCCTGGGGCGTGGACCAGCTGTTGTCACCGGCAGACAAGGTGAGGGGGCGGCACACCTGGCCGCCCTCCGGGGGAGCTTCAGTGTCTGCCCCTGGGAGGCTGGAGGGAAAACGCTCCTGGTGGGGCTGCAGCGATGGCACAGCAGGGAGGGAGCTGGCCTGGCACGCGGCCGGCCCGGGTTCGATCCCCGGCATCCCACAGGGTCCCCCGAGCACCGCCAGGAGTGATTCCTGAGTGCAGAGCCAGGAGGAACCCCTGCGCATCGCCGGGTATGACCCCAAAAAGGAAAAAAAAATGCTGCTGGTAAAGCCAGTGAAATACAGCTCTGGGCTGGGCTGGGAGAAGCTAGCCCGGCTGAGAGGCACGGGCTCTGCCTACGGGAGCCCTGGGTTCCGCCCCTGGGCCCTATGGGCCTCCCGAGCACTGCCCGGGTGATTCCCGAGTCCTAAAGCAAGAGTCAGCAAACGAGCCAACCAGAAACTGGGGCGTGGGCTTCCTACCCACCAAGCAGTTACTACCTGGAGAAGTGCAGCTTCGGGCTGGAAATCACAGTCTGGGTGGGGGCTGGGGAGTCTCCCACCCTGTGCTGCAGACCCACAGCCAAAGCCGCACCCTCTCTGGGGCCCAGGCACACCAGAGCTTCCTGGGGCACTGTGTCCCCACACCCTGCCACCTCCTCCTCCACTTCGATTCCCTGGCTCCCAGTCACGGGGCAGCGCTCCTTCCCTCTGGTCCGGGCAAGCTGGGGAAACACTCATCTGGCCGTGGCTCAGAGAGGGCAGGCAACTTGCCTGAGGTACACAGCGAGCGGTACTCATACCCAGGCCCAGAGCCCTGGTGCTGTCCACCAGCAGCAGTCAGGGGTTTCTCCTGATTTTGCACTCGGGGATCACTCCTGGTGGTCCCTGGGGGACACCCTGCGGTGCCGGGGGTTGAACCCGGGTCAGCTGTGTGCAAGGCCAGTGCCTTCCGAGCCGTGCTCTCGCTCTAGCCCTGAGCTCAATTATGTCTTGCAGGCGTCTTGGGGGGAGGCAGGACTCTCAAGCCACTGTCACGGGACCTGGGGGGTCCTCTCCCAGTGACACTCGGCTCAGCAGCACCCCCTCAGCTCAGTGCAGCACCCCCTCAGCTCAGTGCTCAGGCCTGAGGGGATGAGACTGGGTCTCTCCTCTTCACTCTGGTGTTTGGAAATCTCCAGGGGTGCCGGGGATCAAATCCGTGTCCGATTCCTTGTACTATCTCCCCACCCCCTACTCAGTTTTCATTTTTATTTTATTTATTTTGGTTTTGGGTCACACCCGGCAGTGTTCAGGGCTGACTCCTGGCTCTGTACTCAGGAATCACTCCTGGCGGTGCTCGGGGGACCCTATGGGATGCCGGGGACTGAACCCTGGTCAGCCGCGTGCAAGGCAGACCCTCTCCCCACAGTCCTCTTGCTCTGGCTCCAGCTGCTCAATTTTAAAGGGCCACTGAAGTGGCCAGGGATTAAGGTTAGGGATTAATATACCTGGCCTGCAGCCACCCCTGGCTGGATCCCTGAGCACTGAGCCAGGAGTCAGCCCTGAGCACCTCATAGGGTCGGGTCCCTTGAGCTTTGCCAGGAGTGAGCACCGTGAGAGGTGGTCCAACCCCACTCTCCCCAACCACAGAAATAAATAAAAAGAACCAGACACTGAGGGTGGGGGACTGGTCCCCCCACCCTATCCTCTGCTGCCTGTTCTTGGGGAGCCCTAATACTGACGAGGGTTTGGTCCCGGAAGGCAGCCCAATGGCAGAGCCCTGCCCAGCATGCACCAGGCTCATCCCTAGACTCGCCAGGGACAGCCCCGGGCCATTGACTCAGCCGTTCCCTCACATCTGTCAAAATCTGGAGACGAGGTCAGGGCTGGAGCAGGGGAGGGCACAGGCCTTGCACACGGCCGACCCAGGCTCGATCTTGGGCATCCCATAGGGTCCCCCGAGCACTGGTAGGAATGATTCCTGAGTGCGGAGCCAGGAGCCAGCCCTGAGCATATTCAGGTGTGGCCCCAAACAAAAGCAAACAATCAAATGTCGAGCTGAGGTGAGCAGGGCAGAGGAAGAGAAGAATCTGAGAAGCTGAAACCTACGGGAACGGGACACGGCCCCCGAAAGAAAGACAAAAAGATTAAGAAAAAAAGCCATACAAAACGACAGAACAGGGCGCTGGGCTGTCAGATAGCCGGGAGGGAGCTGACTTTGTACACGTCAGCTTGGGTTCGATCCCCAGCACCTCATAGGGTCGGGTCTCTTGAGCTTTGCCAGGAGTGATCCCTGAGCACAGAGCCAGGAGTCAGCCTTGAGCACTGCTAAGTGTGACTCCAACACGAACAAGAAAAAGATGAAAGGAAAGTCACGTCAGGGGCAGAAACTTTGGTTCATGTTTCTGCCTTTTTGGGGGGTGTGGGGAGGTGTTGGATCACACCCAGCTGTGCTCAGGGCTTCCTCCTGGCTCAGCACTCAGGGATCATCCCTGGGGGGGCTCAGGAGGCAAATATTTGTCTTTCCCTATCTTACTGCTCCAGCCCCAGTGCAGTGCTCAGGAGCGCCCCCCTCGTGGTGCTCAGGGAATGTTTCTAGCACTCTGATCAGCAGCGCCCCCTGGTGGTGCTCAGGGCTCATACCTAGCTCTGTGCTCAGCGGCACCCCTGATGGTACCAGCTCAGAGGTTATCCCCGGCTCTTGCTCAGCAGCGCCCCCTGGTGGTGCTCAGGGAATGCTCCTTGCTCTGTGCTCGGCAGCACCCCCTGGTGGTGCTCAGGGGTTATCCCTGGCTCTGTGCTCAGCAGCAGCCCCTGATGGGGCTGGGATTAGAATTGGGGTGGTGGAACATAAGGTCAGCACATAAACCCTGTCCTATCTCTCAGGGCCCATGGTGGGGGTGGGAACTCGGGATGCCAGGGCCAGGTTGGCAGGGGTCCCCACCATGCCTGACCACAGAATCATCTCTTTTCAGATGATCTCTGGGGCCAAGGACCTGGTGAGCTCTGGGATGACTAAGACCAAGGATGCCGTCTCCTCTGGGGTGGCCAGCATGGCGGACGGTGCCAAAGGCGTGGTGCAGGGAGGCCTTGACGTGACCCAGTCTGCACTCCAGGGGGCCAAGGAGGCTGCGACAAGTGGGGTCACAGGAGCAGTGGGCATGGCCACAGGAGCTGTCCAGACCGGCGTGGACACCACCAAGACGGTTTTGACAGGCACCAAGGACACTGTGTGCAGTGGGGTGACTGGGGCTGTGAACATGGCCAAGGGCACTGTCCAGACTGGCCTGGACACTACAAAGAATGTCCTGATGGGCACCAAGGACACCGTCAGTAGTGGGGTGACCGGGGCTGTGAATGTGGCCAAAGGGGCTGTGCAGGGTGGACTGGATACCTCCAAGGCCGTGCTGACGGGCACCAAGGACACAGTGACCGCTGGGCTCTCTGGGGCCATGAATGTTGCCAAGGGCACTGTCCAGACTGGCCTGGACACCAGTAAGACTGTCCTGACGGGCACCAAGGATACAGTGACTGCTGGACTTACAGGAGCAATGGGGATGGCCAAGGGCACTGTCCAGACTGGCCTGGACACTACAAAGAACGTTCTGATGGGCACCAAGGACACCGTCAGTAGTGGGGTGACCGGGGCTGTGAATGTGGCCAAAGGGGCTGTGCAGGGTGGACTGGACACCTCCAAGGCCGTGCTGACAGGCACCAAGGACACAGTGACCGCCGGGCTCTCTGGGGCCATGAACACGGCCAAGGGCACTGTGCAGACTGGCCTGGACACCAGTAAGACTGTCCTGATGGGCACCAAGGATACAGTGACTGCTGGACTTACAGGAGCAATGGGTATGGCCAAGGGCACTGTCCAGACTGGCCTGGACACTACAAAGAACGTTCTGATGGGCACCAAGGACACCGTCAGTAGTGGGGTGACCGGGGCCGTGAATGTGGCCAAAGGGGCTGTGCAGGGTGGACTGGACACCTCCAAGGCCGTGCTGACGGGCACCAAGGACACAGTGACCGCCGGGCTCTCTGGAGCCATGAACGTGGCCAAGGGCACTGTGCAGACTGGCCTGGACACCAGTAAGACCATCTTGACGGGCACCAAGGACACAGTGACCACCGGGCTCTCTGGGGCCATGAATGTTGCCAAGGGCACTGTCCAGACTGGCCTGGACACCAGTAAGACTGTCCTGATGGGCACCAAGGATACAGTGACTGCTGGACTTACAGGAGCAATGGGGATGGCCAAGGGCACTGTCCAGACTGGCCTGGACACCACCAAGACCGTCCTGATGGGCACCAAGGACACCGTCAGTAGTGGGGTGACCGGGGCCGTGAATGTGGCCAAAGGGGCTGTGCAGGGTGGACTGGACACCTCCAAGGCCGTGCTGACGGGCACCAAGGACACGGTGACTGCTGGGCTCTCTGGGGCCATGAATGTGGCCAAGGGCACTGTCCAGACAGGCCTGGACACCTCCAAGGCCGTGCTGACGGGCACCAAAGATGTGGTGTCTACTGGGCTGACCGGAGCTCTGGGTGTGGCCAAAGGGGCAGTGCAGACGGGCCTGAATACCACCCAGAATATTGCAACGGGCACCAAAGACACTGTGTGCGGTGGGGTGACCGGGGCTGTGAACTTGGCCAAGGGCACCGTCCAGACTGGCCTGGACACCAGTAAGAATGTACTTATGGGCACCAAGAACACAGTGACCGGTGGGCTCACTGGGGCACTAGGTATGGCCAAGGGCACTGTCCAAACCGGCTTGGACACCAGCAAGACCATCCTGATGGGCACCAAGGACACCGTCAGTAGTGGGGTGACCGGGGCTGTGAATGTGGTCAAAGGGGCTGTAGAGGGCGGACTGGACACCTCCAAGGCCGTGCTGACAGGCACCAAGGACACAGTGACCGCTGGGCTGACCGGAGCTCTGGGTGTGGCCAAAGGGGCGGTGCAGACAGGCCTGAATACCACCCAGAATATCGCAACGGGCACCAAGGACACAGTTTGTGGGGGGGTCACTGGGGCCATGAATGTGGCCAAAGGGGCCGTCCAGACTGGCCTGGACACCTCCAAGGCTGTGCTGACGGGCACCAAAGATGTGGTGTCCACTGGGCTGACTGGAGCTCTGGGTATGGCCAAAGGGGCAGTGCAGACGGGCCTGAATACCACCCAGAATATCGCAACGGGCACCAAGGACACTGTGTGCAGTGGGGTGACCGGGGCCATGAACTTGGCCAAGGGCACTATGCAGACTGGCCTGGACACTACAAAGACTGTCCTGACAGGCACTAAGGACACAGTGACCGCCGGGCTCTCTGGAGCCATGAACGTGGCTAAGGGCACTGCACAGACCGGCCTGGACACCAGTAAGACCGTTCTGACTGGCACCAAGGATACAGTGACTGCTGGACTTACAGGGGCAATGGGTATGGCCAAAGGCACCGTCCAGACTGGCCTGGACACCACCAAGACCGTTCTGATGGGCACCAAGGACACCGTCAGTAGTGGGGTGACTGGGGCTTTGAATGTGGCCAAAGGGGCTGTACAGGGCGGACTAGACACCTCCAAGGCCGTGCTGACGGGCACCAAGGACACAGTGACCGCTGGGCTGACCGGAGCTCTCGGCGTGGCCAAAGGGGCAGTGCAGACGGGCCTGAATACCACCCAGAATATTGCAATGGGCACCAAGGACACTGTGTGTGGTGGGGTGACTGGGGCCATGAACATGGCCAAGGGCACTGTCCAGACTGGCCTGGACACCAGTAAAAATGTACTGATGGGCACCAAGGACACAGTGACCACCGGGCTCTCTGGGGCCATGAATGTGGCCAAGGGCACCGTCCAGACCGGTCTGGACACCAGTAAGACCATCCTGACAGGCACGAAGGACACCATGACCGCTGGGCTGACCGGGGCTCTGGGTGTGGCCAAAGGGGCAGTGCAGATGGGCCTGAATACCACCCAGAATATCACGACGGGCACCAAGGACACGGTCTGTGGGGGGGTCACTGGGGCCATGAATGTGGCCAAAGGGGCCGTCCAGACTGGCCTGGACACATCCAAGGCCATGCTGATGGGCACCAAGAACACAGTCTGTAGTGGGGTGACCGGAGCTGTGAATGTGGCCACAGGTGTCATCCACGGAGGCCTAGCTACGTCCAAGGGCATGTTAGCGGGTGCCCAGGACACAGTGACCACTGGGCTCATGGGGGCCATGAACGTGGCCGAGGGTGCAGTGCAGACGGGCCTGAACACGACCCAGAATATCGCAACAGGCACCAAGGACACGGTCTGTGAGGGGGTGTCTGGGGCTGCTTCCTTGGCCGCAGGGATGGTCCACGGTGGCCTGGACACATCAAAGTCCTTCCTGGCGGGCGCCAGAGATGCCATGTCCACCGGGCTCACAGGCGCTGTGCAGAGTGGGCTCAGCTCCCTCCCGAGCTGGTTCCCGGGGTCCCCGTTGGGACCCGCCAGCTGCAGAGTCCCCAACCAAGGAGGCGAGGAGGCCGCTGGGGGCCACCAGGAAGCTGTCCGTGTGGGGGTGGCCTCTGCAGTGTCTGCGGCCCCCACTCCTGCCTGCGAGGACGCCCCGGCCTCCAGCATGTGCCGGGACCTGCTGGGGGACATGGGGGAGATCTTCCACCCCATGAATGCCGAGGAGCAAGGTGAGTCGGGGCGGCACTGGCATAAGTGGGGTGCTGCTGGACCCCACGGCTGCTGGACTCAGCAAAGCCTCTTTCTTCCCAGCCCAGCTAGCTGCCTCCGCGCCGGGGCCCCAAGTGCTCTCAGCTGACCAAGGCAGCTACTTCGTGCGTCTGGGCGACCTGGCGCCCAGCTTCCGCCAGCGGGCCTTTGAGCACGCCCTGTGCCACCTCCAGCACAGCCAGTTCCAAGCCCGGTCAGCGCTGGCGCAGCTTGAGGACTGCTTCGGGCAGGTAAGGGGGGGAGGGGGCGTTTGGCACTGGCCTTGCGCGTGGCTTACCTGGGTTCAATCCCCGGCATCCCACCGGGGCCCCTGAGCGCCGAAGCAGGAGTGATCTCCAAATACAGCCGGATGTGACCCCAATGCCCCCCCAACAAAGCACAAACAGAGCAAAGCGGAACCACAGAGAAAGGGCTGCAACAGCCTCTCAGCATGCGTACGAGTCCCTGGGACCAGTGGGCGTCGCTCTGAATGAGAAAATGCCAAGTGCAGTGCCAGAGCGACAGGACAGTGGGGAGGGCTCTGGTCTTGTAAGCGGCCGACCCAGGTTCGATCCCCAGCATCCCGCAGGGGCCCCTCAGTGTGCCAGGAGTGACCCTTGAGCATCACCAGGTTTGGCCTCTCCCCCCAGTCCCCCCTAAAAAGTGCTATCTGGGGTTCATCCCTGGCACCACTTAGGTCTGTGAGAGCCATAAGGATCAGTTCTGGGCTCCCGAGGCCCCTGCTCTGGACAGTGACCACAATGCCCACCTGAGGGTTGTCTGGTCTGGAGCAGGGGAAGTGAGGGGAGAAGCCAGGTCCACCCCCAGAAGTGGGTTCAAGGGTGGTGAGGGCACCCCCATGCCCAAGAAAAATGAGAGTCTGATTGAATCCCCGAGCAAGGGACTGGATATTTTTTCTCTGGGGGGCTGCGCAGGGGAAACCGGGAGCCACGCCCAGCTATACTCTGATGGTTCGGGATTGGTGCTGGCTATGGATGCTGCTCTGGGTCACTGTGGCACTCCAGGCAGTTCTCAGATCATCCCTAACCTTGCAGTGCCTTGGCTAGAACCTGGGCGGCTGCCATGCCTTCAACCCATTTCCCCACTCCTCAGAGTGACATCTGGGAGCTGGGATAGGAAATAAGGGTGGCCCGGAAGGGATGGAGGAACGAGGCTCTGGGCTGAACTGGCAGCAGATACAAAGGCCCTGGGGCAGCAGTGAGCTGGGTGTGGTCAGGGGTGGAAGTCAAAGCTTGGAGTTTAGGGGGCGTCGTGGAGCAGGGGTATGGGTGAGGTTGGAGATGTTGGGGTGGGGACCAGGATGGAGAGGAGGCACGTTTCAGCTGAGGGGCACTGGGCCTCCCCAGTGGGCCTTGTGGGCCCATTTGTAGCACCTGGTTTGGGGGCCACATCTCTCCTGCTCCCCAGGGTGGTCATCCCTGGGTGGGCCCAGAGATCCGGCTGAGCGGAGATGGTGCTGGCCTTGCAAGTTATGAGCTAGGAGCTGGCCTTGCTGGCCCTGCTGGCCCTGGGCTCCATCCCTGACACCCCCAAAATCAGCTGACCAGGGAGGGCTGGAGTGATAGGACAGTGGGGAAGGCGCTGACCCAGGGTCCACCCCTGGCATCCCATCGGGTCCCCCAAGTGTAGCCGGGAGCGGTTCCTGAGCAGCCGGCCAGGAGTTAGGTGTTAGCCCTGAGCACCACGAGGTGCGTCCCCCCACAAGCGACGACAAAACCAGGTGACAAATGCCAGCCGGACTTGGGAGGGAGGGATGGGGGCCTGCTGTGTGTTGGGGTGGGGGTGGGCTGCCGCTGCCAGCAACTCACTGTGTCCTTCACCCCGCAGGAGCCGGACGCCCGCGCGCTGGCCCGGGCCTGCGGCAGCCTCCAGCAGCTGCATGTGGCCTACAGCGGCCTGGCCTCGGGCCTCCAGGGGCTGCCTTCCGAGCTGCAGCCGCGGCTGGGCCAGGCGCGCCAGAGCCTGTGTGAGCTCTACGGCCTGGTGTCAGCCACCACGGCGGGCGGGCCTGGCGCTGAGGTGGCCGCCGAGCAGCTGGGCTCGAGCCACGAGCGTATGCGCCAGGCGTGGCAAGGGCTCGAGCAGCTTCTGGACCACCTGCAGCAGAGCCCCCCGCTCGGATGGCTGGTGGGACCCTTCGCCCTGCACCCCGCGGGTCGGCAGCAGCTGTAGCCGCCCCCGGTCCCCACGGCCCCGGCCCCGAAGCAGCCCCCGCTCTTCAGGCTCTCTGGAGGGGCTGCTCCCTGCTGGGGTGACGAGGAGCCCCCACGCCCCACCTGCCACCCCTCCCAGCCCCAGCCTAGCAATCAGGGCGCTTAGGATCCCGGACAAGAGCCCATCATTACTCTGAAAGCAACCCAAGGGGCCGGGCCTTAGAGCAGCGAGGAGGGCGTTTAGCCTGCACACAGCCCACCTGGGTTCAATTCCTGGCACCCTGGCACCTGGAGATCCCCTGAGCATCGCTGGGGGGTGGCAGCCACCCAGACCCCCAAAACCATTTCCCATTCAGCTCTGCCTCCTGGGAGCCTTGTCACCCTTAGGGCAGGGGGCTCTTCCGGTCCCACGGTTGGGGGGTCCCTTAGATATAGGACCACAGGCCTCCCTTCCCGACTTGGACGTACAACAGCGCAATCCCCGGGCCGCAGCTGCTAAAGGCACAGTCACGCTGATGCCTCACAGAGTGCAGAGGCAGGGCAGGGGACGCCCCTCCGCCTGTGCCTGGTGAGTCTCTGGGGCCGGGCCCGTGCTCCCTCCCCATCTCTGCACTCCTTTCTTTTCAGGAGCCTCCATTTTTCTAGACCCAACAGGTGGCTGCAGCCAGTTGGAAGCCCTGGGCACCCCCAAGTCTGGAGCTAATAGCAGGAGAGCTGTGGCAGGAGGTAGGAAGGGGTGCCCTGAGGCATGACGCCCCCACTGTCCAGAGCAGGGCTTCCTGTCACCTTTGGCTGAGCCCAGAGACGGGTCTTGGGGAGACAGCCATGCTGCCTGGCCGGAGGACAGGATGTTGGGGTGTTGGTTTACACCAGGCTCCGACGGCCCTAGACCCTGCCTCCTGGGGTCCCCTTTAGGAGCTCAGTCTGCAGCTGCCACAAAAGAAACTATCTGACTGGCACCAGCAGGGGCCCTGCCAAGTGGGCAGTTTAGGCAGACAGTGACCAGGGTCCAGCCACAGACAGCGGCTGCGTCAGCTTCCAGGGGGCAGGACCTCATCCAGCCCCAGAACCCCAGAACCACAAGTGTGGCCCTGAGTCCCTGGGTGTGCTTGCCAGACGCCCACCGATGCCTGCGCTTATCCTGCTGGGTCCCACCGCACCCGGGCACCCCTTTGGAAGCCTCACCTCACCCAAACCACACAAGGGTGCCACCCTGCCGTTGCCACCTCTGGGTGGCCGTGAGAGGCCGGTGAAGCTTTGCCTGCACCTCCGTTGATCCAGGGCTTGGGGCGGGGCGGGGGGCAGCCCTAAGGAGGGGGCCCTGCCAGGTTGCTGATGGCTCCTCCCGCACTGGGAAACCAAACCAATAAAGTGATTTTTTTTTCATTAAAAAAACCCTTTATAGTCATTTCATGGCGGCTGGAAATCAGAAGTGAGGCAGAAAAGAACCCGAGGGACAAATACAAACAATCGGCGGGGTCCCCCATCAGTTCTCCACTCCCTGGCGCAGGAAGGAGGGAGCCGGGGCCGCCGCCACCGCCGCCAGGGTGGGCGGACGAACAGACGGACAGACGTCTGGGGGCAGCCGCCGGCAGGGGCTCAGCTGTCGTCTTCGTCCAGAGACTCCGAGTCCACTCGCAGCCTTGTGGGCTCTGGCCGCTCGCTGGCCGGCCCGTCCAGGTTGGGGCCCTCCCGAGTGCTGCTGCTGGGTGGGGGGACACACACAGGGGGCCGACGGTCAGCCCCAGCCACCCATGGGTGGCTATGGGTGGGTGGGAACAAGAGGGGCTGCGGGAGCTGCACCGACCCAGGTGTTCTCCTGCCGGGGGCCCCACACTCACTCATTGTGCGACAGGTCTTCGGAGGAGCCACCCTGGGGCCCCTCCTCCGAGGTGGGCCCCTCCTCGGCGTCCTTGCTATCTGGCTCCTCCCCCTTCTGCGACGCGGCCTCCCCGTTGATGGGGGCTGAGAAGTCTGGGGAAAATAGGGCGCAGGGTGACGCAGGGCTGTGGTCAGGGACCCCCACCCGGGACCCTCGCTATGCTGGGCAGCTTCCAGATGGCGACCTGACAGGTCGGTGAAGCTACCTTGCTGCCCCAGCGGCACTGACCCTGTTAACGTCCCCGCAGCGCTGGCATCAGGACCCCCGTCTCTCTGGGGGTTCTCGGCGCCCCAGCCTGCCCATCCGGCCCCTCACCTGAGCCGGCCTGGCCCCCCGCCTTCTCCGTGGGGCCTTCTTCTCTGGCCAGCGTCTCCTCGGCCTTCCCCGCCTCGCCCTTGTCACGCTCGATGCTGCTGCGGTTGGCCTTGGGCGCCGCCTCCATCTTGGGCCCCAGCACCCGCGCCTTGAGGCGCGTGTAGACCTCGGCCGCCTTCTCCATCACCTCCCTGTTGGCCTTGTACCGGCGAATCTGCCGCGGGGCCCAGGCTTGGCTCAGGGAGCGCAGCTGGCCGCCGTGCTGGCCTCTCTGCCCGGCCCAGAACAGCAGGGGAGCCCCCCCAGCCAGCTTCCCCCCCCGGTCTCTCTCCCCCGGCCCCCGCTACCTTCTTCAGCGTGGCCACGACGTCTGTGTTCTTCTGGAGAATCTGGGAGGTCACCTGCAGGCTCCCCAGCTCCTCCAGGGCACTCAGGCACCTCTTCACATCCTGGGGAGCATGGGGAGCGGGTGAGGAGGGCAGCCCTGGGCCCCGAGGGAACCGAGCGGTGGGGACCCGAGGAGAGGGTTCTGGGGGGAAGAGCAGACACCAGACCCACAGGTGCCCTGTCACCCCAGATGTGCCCATATCCCAAGATAGCCTCCAGGCAGCGCTCCAGATGACGGGTCGGAGAACCGTTGGATGTGGGGGTGGGGTGCAGGGGTGGCCCCACGCTCATGGGGGGAGGGTGTTCGGGGGTCCTCACCGGATTGTCAACTTTGAGGGCGAACTTGATCTCGCTGTGCAATTTCTGCAACTTCTCCTCCACAGAAGGTTCTGGGTTGGGGTGCAAGCACGGCTTGGGTCTGCGCTGTGGGCGCTGGTGGGCACGGTCCCCCCAACTCCCAAGCCGAGGCCCCATTTCTCTGCCTCCCTCCTTCATCCCCATGGCCGCTTGGAGCCTGACTCCTCACCTTTCTTCTTGTCCACCTTCCGGTCCTGGGAGAAGCCTTCTGACCGCTTCCGAGGACGCTCCACCTTCATGGGCCTGTGGGATGGACGGACCCATGGACATCCAGCTAGTGAGACCACTCGTGCTGCCCACTCTCCCCTGCCCACCTCCAGAGGACATCTGAGGTGCAGCCGTGCCCCCAGGAACCTGACTGACAGCGAGAGCTGTGCAACCTTGTGACTTTCTAGAAGACTCTGGTCAGAGCCGGAAGTGCGGTAGGATGGAGGCCACAACTCCTGCCAGCCTGGAGGCCCAGTGTAGAAAGTGGGGCTCTGTCCTCCCCAGATGTAAGCGAATGTTCAGAGGAACAAGGAAGACAGATCAAGGCGGGCGCCCCACACCCGAGGTGAGCAAGTTCCAAGGGCCAGGCACGCACTCGCAGAGGGAAGCCCGCAAGCACCCCATGGCACCCCCAGTACAGTCAGGAATGGCCCCCAAGGACCCAAACAAACCAGCTGGGGAGAAGAGGCCACTCCTGCAGTGCCGCAAACAAAAGGAGCTGACCTCTGTCCTAGAGTCTAGGGGGGCGTGAGCAGCACCCCAACTGGGACCCACAGAATCCCCGGAGGGGGCAGGAGATCTCGATATTGCTTCGGGGCCATGGGGACCCTGAGAACTGAGTTTGCGTGGCCAAGGCAACTCCCTGTCCCCAGAGCGAGGCAAGGGAACCCTGGGAGGTAAAGAACACTCGGGCGGCCCTACAGTGGGAGGGGGCCTGCCCAGAAGTGGGCAGAGCCATTCTGACCTGGGCCGGGGCTTCTCCTCTGAGCGCCCCCTCTTCTCTTTCTGACTGGCTCTGCGCACGGGCTCCGTGCTGGGGGCTGACGGCTTCTTGGAGGACTTCTTGGCCTGCTGAGAGAGGGGGCGCTGGAGAGGCAGAAGGGGGCTTCGTCCCCAGACCCGTGAACTGAACCTCTAGAACTCATCGGAGGCCTCCTGTCTGGCAGCTGGCAGAGGGACGGGCGAACCAGGGTTCCCAGCACGAAAATCCACGCATGGGACCCTGTGCAGTCGGGCCCCCACCGCTCTCCTGCCACCGGACTGGGTGGCCAGATCCTTGGTGGAATGGTAGTGAAGGAGGGGCCGGGCAAGAGCAGAGAGCGAAGGGCACAACCTAGCATGCACCCGATCCAGGCCCCTAACAGCGCCGGAGGCCTGGAGGCCCCTCAATCATGATTGGGGTGACCTGCGGAACACCCACATGGTGGGGAACTCGTGGCACCAGCTCCTGGACCTAGCCTAGAGCAGCTGGCCTGGCTGCCTGAGAATCGGGGCAGGGCCCTGGGTTCCTGAGCACCCCTTGAAGGTGCCTCCCCAGGCCCAAATGCCCAGGGCCTGGGCACTGGCTGTGCCCTCGGCCGGTGCTGCTCCCCCCACAGCCTCTTCCTGGGCCCCCTCGCTTCCTTCAGGGCCCCATTCAGGTCACCCACACGAGGACAGACCCGTTGGCCCCCCTGCACGCACAGGTGTCCTTTCTTGTTCCTGCCCTCCCAGGACACTGCGGGGCTGGCCCAGCTGCACCCAGGGGCAACTGGGCACGTGGGGACACCGGGGTGAAGCCGCCAGGCCCCCACCCGGACGCACCTCTTTCTCGGGTTCGGCGTCAGGCTCCGAGTCCGAGGAGGTTGGGGGGCCCCGGCCCTTGCGGCCCCGCGGGCCCCGCTTCTTGACGGGCTCGTCGTCGTCCAGGAGCTCGTCGCCGCTGCTGGCGCCACTGCCCGCGGCCGGGGGCGCATCCCCGCGCTCGGCCCGCTCCCGCCGCCGCTCCCTCTGCTCCTTCTCCTCCTTCTCCTGCTCCCGCAGCCGCCGCAGCTCCTCCTCCTGCTCCCGCCGCCGCCGCGCCTCCAGCTCCCGCCGCCGCTCCTCGTCCCGCCGCTTCCACTCGCTGATGCGGTCCACCTCGTCGCTGTCGCTGCGGGGCAGGCGGGCGGGCGGCTCAGTGGGCAGCACCGCACCCAGGGGGCCCGCCTGGCTGGCCCGCGGGGAGCCGCTCCGCCCTCACCTGTCGCTGCTGGAGCTGCTGGGCGGCCGCTCGGGCTTCGGCTTCCGACCGCGGGGCTTGGGGGGGGGTCTCTCCGCTGTGGGGAAGGAGGTGCGGGGAGGGTGGCTCCGCTGTTGCTCCCCAGGTCCGGGTGGGGGCCGGGCTGCGGACTCCCACAGGGGGGCACCTACCTGGCTTTCTGCCCCGTGGAGGCTTCTTGACAGACACTTCCGAGTCGGAGTCCGACGAGGAAGAGGACGAGGAGGAGGACGAGGGCGAGGGGGACGGGGCCGCGGCCACTGGCTCGCCCTTGGCCAGGTCCGATTCTGCTTTGGAGTCTGAGTCAGAGGCGGAGGGTGCCTGCTGGGAGGGGACGGCACCGGGGTGAGGGCTGCAGAGCAAGGGCAGGCCCCGAGCACCCGACACAGCCCCGGCCTCCCAGAGACTGCCATGCCTAGACCCGAACCCTCCAGGGTGACTCCGAGCAGAGCCAGGTGTGGCCCCCAAACCCAATCCTATAAGACACACAAGCATCACGCCGGCTTCTCTCGAGGCCTGGCATGCACTCCAGCCTCTGCACACCGGATGGGCATCCTCTAGAGAGGCCCCACTCCAGGGCGGAGGGGGCCGTGGAGAGCTGTTAGAGCTGGACCCCCCAAACCCACCTCCCCCTCAAGTCCCCTACCTTTTTCTTCCGTCTTGCCAGGGGACCCCGCCGTGGGACCCGGGCCACTGTTTTCTTCTCGGGAGTGAAATCCTGGGTGGAGAGAGGGATGCTGAGGCCGGGCCCCGCAGGCTGCCCAGGCTGAGGTCCAGCCGGGGTACAGCCTGGCCAGGGTCACCCCACCTGATCGCTGGTCTTCTCAGACTCAGATGAGCTCTCTGAGTTCTCCTCCTCCTCGGACGGCGATGCGCTGGCGGGATCCACGTCGCTGGGGGCCTTTCGTGCACGTTTGGATACCGACATCTGGAAGGGGGCAGTCAGAGTGGGGGAGCACCACTGGGTCGCTGGTCCCCCCTGTCCCCCGCACACCCCCAAGGCAGGAAGCCCTTGGGAGAGTTGGGGCCTGGGAGCCCCCTGGGGGAGTCGGAGCACCACACCCCTGCCACCTGGGTTCTGTCAATGGGACTGTGGATCACGGGGCCCCCAAAACACAACTGGGGAGGCACGAATGACACCCCAAGGTTTTAGCCTTTGGAAGGGTGAGTTTCCCAGTGTTTGAAAGGCCTCTCAATTTTCTCCCTGTGGCATTCTTTTGGGGCCACACCCAGTAGTGCTCAGGGCTGGCTCCTGGCTCTGTGCTCAGGGATTAATCCTGAAGGGGCTTGGGGTGCTGGAAACTGAACTCTGGTCAGCTGCATGCAAGGCAAGCAAGAACCCTCACTCCTGTACTATCACTTTGGTCCCTCAATTTTCCTTTTTGGAGGAGGGGGGTTCGGTAGTGCTCAGGGGCCAAGCCCGGGGTGTTTGGGAGACCCTATGCAGTGCCAGGGACTGAAGCAGAGTTGGTGACATGCCAGAATGTCCCCAGTGTTTTAGAGAGCCGCAGGCTTCAGACAAAGGAAGGTGCAGGGGGGCGGGTGGGCAGGGGACAGACCTCAGGGCAGTGGAAGGACCTAGGAATCTGAACTGCCCCTACCAGCTCCCCCAACCTACCTTTAAGGTTGCCGCCTTGCGCTTCAGGCTCTTGTCAGAGTCTGAGTCACTCTCCATCCTGTCACTGGTGGCTGCAGCGGTCACGGCTGTCACAGCCATGATCCCCCGGTCAGTGGCGTCGTCGTCGCTGCCACCGGCCCGGTCAGCGTCGCTGTCAGAGGAACTCACCGGCTGGGGGAGGGGAGGGGGACAGGCCATGACCATGAGTCACCCCCAATTCGAGAGACTGCTCACGCCCCACCTGCCAGCAGCCCAGGACGCAGTGGGGGTCGGGAGAGGGGGGATACTCAGATATCAGCCTTCTCGTTTTTCAGATGGGAAACTGAGGCCCAGGAAGCTGTGAGGGTTCCAGGGCTGTGGGGCTCGTAGTAGGGAGGTAAAGAGATGGCTTTTTTGGTTTTTGGGGCCACACCTGGCAATGCTTAGCAATCATTCCTGGCGGTGCATGGGAGAACCCATGAGGTGCAGCGGATGGAACCCAGGTCAGCCGTGTGCAAGGCAGCGCCATCCCTGTGATGCTTGCTCTGGCCCGTATCAGGGGGCACTGCGCTGCCAAATGGTCGGCAGAAGGCACGCAAGGCAAGCAGGCGCTGCTCAGGGTCCCTACTTGCGTTCTCAGGAGGCGACAGGGGATTCAGATGGGCCTCAGTGGCCCCCACACAGAAACAAAGACAGGGCTGGAGCGACTGTACAAGTAGGGAGGGCGCTTCCTGCACGCAGCCTACCGGGGTCCAATCCCTGGCAGCCCAAATGGCTCCCCAAGCCCTAAGGCGAGAGACCCTGAGCATGGAGCCCAGAGTGAGCCCTGAGCGCCACTGGGTATGGCTCAGTGTTAGAGCGTTTGCCTCTCACCCAATTAAGACAAGTAAAATAAATAATTTAAAATTGAGGGGCCGGAGAGAGTCCAGGCTTGTCTTGCAGCAGGCTGGCCCCTCTCGATGGCTGGGCTCCATGTAAGGTCCCCCCAGCACCAGCATGAGGGGGGAAACTCCTGAGCAGAGAACCAGGACCAGCCCCAGAATACCATGGGGTACGGCTCCAAATCAAATATGCAAAAAAATTAAAAAAAAAAAAAGACATCCATGGTCCACGCCCAGGCACACGGCTTAGGGGCAGTGGGTCTGCCCTGCTGACGAAGCTCCACAACACATGCAACCGCAGGGGGGTTCGAACAAATCTGGGGCCTCAGCGCCCCAAATCACAGCAACCACAGCACCACAGGAAGGGAAGAAAAAAAAAGACAATCCTTTGTAAAAGGACCTTCCTGAAGATAATCTAAATTAGAACCCATCCTCAAGGGATGTAAAGTATTTCATTAACCTGAATTTAGGAAGCCACCCCGCACGAGGTGGGGTCACATACATCAAGTCACAAATCAGAGAATGATTTTCAAGGGCAATGCAAATAAATAAATAGATAAATATGGTCCAGAGTGATAGCACAGTGGGTAGCATTTTTGCCTTTCGTGCGGCCAACCTGGGTTCGATTCCTGGCATCCCTTCTAGTGCTCCAAGCACCACCAGGAGTAACCCCTGAGTGCAGAGCCAGGAGAAACCCCTGAGCATCTGGATGACACAAAACAAAACATTAACAATAATACTGGGCACTCAGCCAGTGGCTCTCGCTCTCTCTCTGGGCTGAGCCCGGCACCTTCAACCCACCTCCTGTGTGAAGGTACTGAGGGGTTAGGACCCCCCGCCAGCCCTCCAGACTCCTAGGCTGCCCCAAGCACGAATGCTCTCAGTCTCTCGGGCATCGGGGAGTCTGTGCTGTCAGGGCAGCCCAGTTCTGGGGTTTTCTTCCTCGGGGGCAGGCTTTCTGCGGGCACAGCGGCCGTGGGAGGACAATAAATGTGACGGGCGCGGTGATTCACCGGCAGGGACTAAGCTCCCGGGGCTGCCTTCAAACTTGAGCGGGGGCCAGAAAAAGAGCTTATGAGACTCTGTGGCTGCTGACAGAGGCGGGGATGCCCTTTGGGGCTGCCCCTCCCCCAAGGGATCCCCGACTGCGCCAGCATCTTCTAGATGCATTTCAGGTGGGGAACCGCAAGCCCCACCACTCCAGACACCCCTTCTCAAGGAGCTACGGAGCTGGGAGCTGTGATCTGGGCCTGGCCCCCACTGGGTTCCAAGGCTCTGAGCAGCAGGGGGCAAGCGGGCTGGGAGCGTGGCGATAAAGCTAAGCCTTGAAAGAGACACAGCGAGGCCATCTCAAGGCTCCAAAGTCAAGCCCAACTGGAGGGGAGCTACAAAAACCAGACCCCCAGTTGAACCCCATTTTTCTATCTAAGTCTGGCTCTGACACCTCCTTCCTGTTTCCTCCTGCACATGCCCCCAAAGCAGAACAAGGCAGCGGCCTCCTCTCCGAAGCTCCTGGGCTAGGGAAGCCCTGACCTCATGAGCATCTACGAACCGAACACCCCACACCCTGTCCCGTGCTCCGTGCTGGAGCCCCGTCTTTCCCCTGTCGCACCCACTCACCTACCCCGCTGAAGCCTCTCCGATTCCAGGCCTGTATCCCTCACCTTAGGCCTCCACGGATGGGAACTTTTCCCAGTGACCACTGGGCAGCAGTGGGGCGGAGAGGCGGGGAAACCAAGGCTGCAGAACCCTGCCCGGGTTTAAGGCACTTGCCTTGCCTGCCACCGACCACGCGGAGCCCTGTCAGGAGTGATTCCTGAGCACAGAGCTAGGAGTCAGCCCCGAGCATCACTGATGGGACTCACAAAGTCAAAAAAGTTACAGAAGTGGAGAGTGAGAATGACCCTCCCTGGCTGACCCCGGAACGGAAGTTACCACCCAGAGGATCCTCAGAGATATCCGTGACTGACCGCACGGGGGCAGGAGTATCTGACACTGAGTGGGTAGGGTCTAGGATTGTTCTCCAATACCCCCAAGCGCCCAGCCTGGATCCCAGGGAATGATCTGCCCCCCTGGCCCCGCCATGGCCAGCTGCCAGGACACCGAGGCCCCCCGGTCTGAGCGCCAGACTCACCAGAGGCGCGCTGTAGCTGGCGTGTGGGTTGTTCTGGATCTCCCAGAGCCCCTCATTGAAACCTTTCCTCTTGTTGGGTTTCCCGTACTTCTCCTTGCATTTGTCGTAGGGGAACAGGTCCTTGGGTCCCAGGAAGGCCCTGCAAGGGAAGGCCGCAGGCCAGGGCACGGGTGAGCAGGGGCCACCCCAAGAGGCACAGGGCAGGGGCACGCCCCACGGGGGCCACTTACGTTTCGTGTGTTCCGAAGAAGAAGATGGGGTATTTGTTGGGTGGGGGTTTCACAGCACCGTCGGCAATGTCGTCGATCTGCGATGAGAGGCTGGTGAGGGGACGCACTAGGCGGGGGTAGGGGGGCCTTGGAGCTCACCGATCCGGAAAATCCCCACAGACCAGTGACTTGGGGTTGGAGCAAGGTGGGACGCCTCTGCCAGGCCTTCCAGAGAGGTATCTGAGCTCCTCGGTGCCCGGGGTTCCACCAGGGCGTCCCTAACCCCTCCTAACAGGAGGGGGCGCTTTCTGCCTCCAAGGTAGAGGGGCTTCACCTGAGCACAACCAAATTAGGAGCTCTGAGCTGCGGGGAGGCGTGCAGCCGAGCTCGGATGCTAGGAAGTCCCTTCTGACCCTCCCACAGAACCCTGTCCTACCCAGAGGGGTGCGCTGGGGGTCGGTCTCTTAGAGGCTGCAGCTGGGAGCTCCAAGGATGCAGAGGGTGGGGGGTGGGCTGCAGGAGACAGGCCTTGAGCATCCAGGAAGTCCCACCCTCTCCCTACAGGCCCATGGGCTCCGGCAGCTGTCAGTCACTTCCCCACAAGGAGGCGAGCAACCCCTTCACTTCCAATCAGGTGCTGGGAACAGACCAGGAGGAGGAGGGGAACCGCCGGGCTCCTTCAAGAGAGGCAGCGGGAGGGGGTCTGGGCTAGGAGAGGGAGATGCCTGAGCAGTGGTCAGGGACGGCCCGGCCTGCGGTGCTGATGGTCAAGTTTCTGGGCACAGCAGGGGAGTCCCAAGAAAGTGGGCCCACGCAAATCAGGTTGGATGGGTGTCGCCAGGGCCCCGCTTAATCCCCTCCCAATCTCCTCCCCAGCCCTTTAACACTTGGGTGCCTGCGGGAATGGGCGCCCTGCTGCTCCTGGGCCCCCTCTCCCGGCCCAGCCCCCTCCGGGCCCAGCATCCCCAGCGGTCGGCAGCATCCTCAAAGCTTTGCAGCATGGGCCAGCCGGGCACCTCTGGACCCCGCCTCTCCTCTCGGCCCCGGAGCACCAGCTGCAACCTGCTCCAGCCGCCTCAGTCCCGGGCCCTGCCCTCCCGCCTGGCTTCGGCTTCCACCGGGGAGCAACCAACAGCCCGGGTGCACAGCAGGGACGTGAGCCAGCCCATTGGGCAGCTCAAGAGACGGCCTCAACCCTCCCCTCCCCTCAAATGCCTGCAAGTCCCCAGCGCAGGCCACCAACCTCTGTCTTGGGTGTGTGTCATGGGGGGGTGGGGGGGTGGGTCTGCCTTCTGTCCTGTGCACTAAAACCGACAAGAGCTCTGCAGCCAGCGAAGCTGGGAGCTCCCAGACCTGGGGGACAAGGGGCGGGGTGCTGCAGACCGGGACCCCAGCATTATCTGGGTCCTCTGCTTCCTCCACAGCAAGCGTCCGGCAGACATTCCCTTTTCTCCTCCCTAGACCCCGCCATCGGCCTCCTGCTGCGAGGGTCCCTGCAGAGGACCAGTTCCCCGGCGCGCCCGCACCCGTCCCACCACCACCGCCAGTTTCAGACCCTGTGGGGTCGGGGTGTGCCCCTCTGCTTCCGAGCCGGGCCTCTCGGGACAAGGAGCCTGGAGAGCAGAAGCCCTCAGCCCCATTTCCAAGCGCATCCGCGACCCTCTAGTCCTTCTGGGCTTCAGGCCTCACCAACGGGCGCCCGTCGCCCTCGGGAGGTGGCTCCCGGGTGGCGGGATCCTAGGTGAGAGGGTCTGGGGGCAGCCCCCGGCCGTAAGGGGAGGACCCTACTTGCTCTAAGCGCCTCTCCTCAGTTTCCCCCACACAACTTGCAGCCCCGCCCGGCGGTCACGGCGCTCAGATCCGCGCACCCTCGGCCGTGACACCCCTCCGTGTCGCTCCTTCAGGCCCCGGACCCCCACATTCCTGTGGGTCCAAACAAGGTCCCCCCAGCCCCGCACACGGGGGGGCCCCCAGACCCACGACACAGACTCGGGTCCCAGAGGCGGGGAGTTCACCACGACCCTCCTCCGCCGGACTTGGGGGCCTGAACCCCGGTTCTCGAGGCTCCCGGCGCAGGGTCCCCCGGGCCTGAGGCGACCCGGAGTCCCCCGCCGAGGGGGCAAGTCTCGAAGGTTCGGGTCCTCCGAGCCGTCCCCCACCCCCACCCCCGTCCGCAGAGTCCTCAGTCCGGGGTCGCCAGAGCCTCGGCGCGCGGGTCCCTCGGCCGCGGCGCCCTCCTCTGCGCGCGGGTCCCTCAGGCCCGGCGCCCACTCAGGCAGGTCCCGGCGGCGCGGGTCCCTCAGTCGTGGCCCCCCCGGCCCGCCTTCGCCCATCTCCCGCGCGGCCTCACCCGGGCCGGCCAGTGCGGGTAGCCTTTCATCTTGGCGAACACCAAGTCCCCGGGCTTGAAGGCATGCGGCATGCTGGCGGCTGGAGGCCCAGGCCGCGGGAAGCGGCGGCGGCGGCGGCGGCAGCGGCGGCGGCGGCGGCAGCAGCGGGAGGCGAAGCCGGGGGCGGGAGCGGGGCGCCGAGGGGGCGGGAGCGGCCTCCGGGGCATGAAGGGCCAGGCCGTGCTCATTGGACCACGCGCCGCCGGAAATCCCGCCCTCCCACCGTCACGGGAGGGCAGAGCCGTCGCTCAAGACCACGTGCGGGATAGAGGCGCGCAGGGGCCAATCGGAAGAGGGGCTGGAGTCAAGCGCGTTAGCGGGATTGGATAACGGGCAGAGCCAAGGGGCGTGACCCAAAGGCCTAATGGGAGGGGGCGGAGGTTAGGAGAGGTGAAAGGGAAAAAGGGGGAGGAGGGAGACAGAGGCGCCCGGGGAGCGAAGAAGCGGGACGCGACTCCTTTGGGGCGGGGCTCCAAGCATTAAGGGCGGAGTTTTGAGAGGGCGCCTGACTATTGGACACCACAGGGAATGAAGTCCAATCGATATAGGGGGCGGGTCACTGGAAGGTTTTCCTCAAGAGAAGGCTTAAAGTGGCGCTGCGGGCCACGGGATACCACTGGACTCGCGACCCGAGGTCCTAAGCTGCCGTTGGCTACTGAGGAAGGAGGAGCGTAAACCGCCGTCGCCCATTGGATGCTCTAAGAGGGGCCGTGCAGCTCAAATGGGTGCGCGCCACAGCCGGCGCGGGCGGGGCGGGGCCTAGACGGAGACGCTGGGGGTGGAGGGGCGGGGGCGCTCCGGCGTAAATCGCTGCGAAAAGCGCACGGTTACTTTCGGACTTTGTAAGTTTCTCTCGCAGACTCTATGTGCCAGCGCCACGACATACCCAAACATTTCATTAGTTCATGACAAAAACTGTATTGCAGGTGCGCCACAGCTCGTTATTTAATCTGCTTCGGTTTTCCCACTTGCTAGTGTATATAGTATTTTGTGAAGGAACAGTCATGAGGTGAGAATTTCTTTATTCTTTTTCTTTTTTTTTTTTTTTTTTTTTTGCTCTTTGGGCCATACCTGGCGATGCTCAGGGGTTAGTCGAGGTTCTACACTCAGGAATTACTTCTGACGGTGATCAGGGGACCATAATGAAGTCCGGGTATCGAACCCGGGTCGGCCGCGTGCAAGGCAAGCGCTCTCCCCACTGTACTATCGCTCAGGCCCCAGAGGTGAAAGTTTCTTCATTTACAAAAGATTTTTCATTTAAAGAACCGTGAATTACAAAATTAATGATAAAGTATTAGGATAAAATGTGTTATCACCAATCCAGTGTCAACTTTTCACCACCAGTTTTCCCAAGTTCCCTCAGGTCCAGCAAGGCGAGAATTTTCTTAAAAGTACCTGGGAATACTTTTTTTTTTCTTTTTGGGTCACACCCGGCAATACTCCGGGGTTACTTCCGGCTCTGCGCTCTGGAATTATTCCTGGCGGTGTTCTGGGGACCATATGGGTGCTGGGAATCGAACCCTGGTTGGCCGCGTGCAAATGCCCTACCTGCTCTGTACTCCAGCCCGGGAATACTTTTTTTTTTTTAATTGACTGACCCTGAGCTATACAGTTACAAAGTTGTTCATGATTGGGTTTCAGCCATACAATTGGGGAACACTTTGGAGGGACTGGATCAGAGAGGATAAAGTTTTGTACTTCAAAAGAGATCTTTAGGGGCTGGAGCAATAGCACAGCAGGTAGGGCGTTTGCCTTGCACGCGGGGTTCAATTTCCAGCATCCCATATGGTTCCCTGAGCACCGCCAGGGGTAATTCCTGAGTGCAGAGCCAGGGATAGCCCCTGTGCATCGTGGGGTGTGACCCAAAAAGCAAAAAGAAAAAAAAGAAAGAAAAAAAAAGAGATCTTTATATTGGGTTGGAGAGATAGTACAGCAGGCAGAGTGCTTGCTTGTCCTAACATAACCGACCTGGGATCCATCCCAGGCAACCCATAGGGTCCCCTGAGCCCAACGGGAGTGAACCTTGATTGCAGAGACTGGAGTAAGTCCTGATCACCGCTGTGTTTGACCCAAAACCAAAAAAAAAATCTCCTTATAAAATAAGACCCCGCCCCAAACCAACATCCTTATGAACTGGGATATTACAGTTGCCAGGGCGCTTGCCTTGAACACAGCAGATCTGGATTAAATCCCCAGCACCCTATAATAGCCCAGGAGCACTTCCAGGAGTGATCTGAGCACAGGGTCAGGAGTAATCCCTGAGCACCGCATCTCTGGGTGCAGGCCAAAATACAAAAACCACATTACTGGGCATTTGGCCAAAGAAACAGACCATTTATTGCGCAGTTCCTGTACACGGGTATCTTCTAGCCTCGTTAAGTGTGGTTAATTTCACCATCCCTTGTTAGTTTCTATCCCGGCATTCCAGATGGGGCAACAGAGGAGCCAATGCCCTATGCCCCAGAGCTGTTCCACTTTCCCAGCCTCAAGGATAAACGTCTTCATGGAATTACACACTTGCTGAGCACGTGGAGAAAACCCACCATTTAGTTTCCCCAGGAACACTAAAGAATCTCAACCCAGAGACTTCAAGCCTCCAGGCACCCGAATCTACATTTTAGCCAGCCTCATTAAGGATGTCAGCTATTCCAGAATTTCAGGATTCCCGCCTTGTGCGTGGCTGAACCAGGTTCAATCCTCCACATCGACATGGTTCCAGGACCACTGCTACGAATCAAGTCCTAAACGTAGTCAGGAGTAACTCTTGAGCACTACTGGGAGTGTCCCCCCACCCAATCCCGTAAAAATTTAATCATCATCATCATCATCATGCTACCAGCCGGGAGTGTCCTTTTCTATTGGGCTGGTACAGAGCTACTTCAATATTAAAGGAAAATCATAAAACATTCACTTAATCTACTCAGTGTATGTAGTATGACAGAACAATATTAAAGGGGCGGAATAACATTTGCTGTATGTGGGAACCCCTAGATGTCATCCCCCGCAGTGGGGAGGGGGGAGAAAAATGTGCCCTTTGGGGTGAGTTTTCGAACTGTCACCATCCTGTCTATCCCTGGAGGCGTCTGCTATTCTTAGTCCCTCTTTGGCAGCTGCCGGACACTAAGGTTCCGCGGGGTTCCTTGGCCTCTGCACTCGATTGATTCTTCCTTAAATGTAGGCCAACACTCTCAGGATCAGATCTTCTTAAAATTTCAGTCACCTCCGAGGGCCCTCCATTGTCCGCGGGCTACGTCGGCGCTCACCGGGTGTGTGTGGTGTTCCCAAGGAATCACTGAATCGGGGTGTGGTCACGTAAGAGCGGAGGCGTCCCGGGAGGCTCTGGAGCCGGGCACCATCCGTGGCCTGGTTCCTCGCTCTTAGATGTCCCCCGCAGGGAGCGCAGTGGAAAACGCATTGGCCTGAGACTGGCAAGCGAAGCGCCTTCGTCGTCCCTGGCAACGGAGTCCGGAAGAACCACAGAGAGGCGGAGTCGAGTGGACAGAGCGGCCGCCCGGCCGGCTCGCGAAACGCCGCCGAGCGCTAGAGAGGCGCGCTGGGCCGATTGTCACGTGCGCTGCCGCGCGGAGGCGGGACTTCCGGAGGCTCGGTATTTTCTTTCCGGTTATCGGCTCCGGCCGGCCCCTCCCCGATCGGGCCCCGTGCCCCCCACACCCCGCGGCCCCCCGCCGCCGGGCCCCGCCGCCACTATGAAGAAATTCTTCCAGGAGATCAAGGCCGACATCAAATTCAAGAGCGCGGGGCCGGGTCAGAAGCTCGCGGAGTCGGGGGCGTGAGTGACAGACGGCGGGGCCGGAAGCCGCGCGGCGGAGCTGGGGGTGGGGTGTCCAGAGAGGACGAGGGGTGCGGGAGGAGGACCGAGAGAAACGTGGGGGTGTGGGTATAATGTGTGGGGAGATTTCGGGGGGCGGGGCAAAGGCCGGGGGGTGGGACTAAGGGGCCGAGACCTCCGGGGGCGGGGCGGACAAAGGGGCGTGCCTTTGAGGGGTGGGGCCGAAGAGAAAGTCGAGGGTCGGCCGGGCGGACCCGGAAGAGGCATGGTCTAGACATCAGATATGGGGGATTTGAGGTGAACCTCTGGGTTGGGGTTGAGCCTGGGGGTACGACTGCAGCTGCGGTGGCAAAGTAACCAGGCTTCGTATCTCTGGTGGTTGGGGTGGGGGACTGTCCAGACCCAGGATCTGCGCTGGGTGGGGGGTCGGGGCGAGAGCCCGAATGGCTCGGTGTGTTCAAGATGTTGTAGGGCTTGTCAGATGCTTGGGAGATCCTGGGTGAATTGGGGGTGCTAAGAGCAGCTATGGATAGTCTGGGAGGATCAGGGAAGGAGAGCTCTTGGGGGAAAAGATTGAGTGGATCTTGACTTTGGGTGGGGGGAGACTTGAAGAAGTGGAAGAATGGGAGACTCAGCTGGGTTCCCATACCATGCTTGCAGAGGGGGTTGGTTGGGGAGACTGGGTGGCAGCATTCAGGAAGAGGGAAGGACCTTATGAATTCTGAGGTGATGTTAGTCTTGGGTTTTTTTTTTCTTTTTGGGTCACACTCGGCAATGCTGGGTACACCTGGCTCTGCACTTAGGAGTTACTCCTTGGGGGACCTTATGGGATGCTGGGAATTGAACCTGGGTCTACCGCGTGCAAGGCAAACACTCTACCCGCTGTGCTATCGCTCCAGCCCTTATTAGTCTTATTTTTATTTTTTATGTTGGGCCACACGCAGCAGTGCTCTGGCTTACTTCTGACTCTGCGCTCAGAGATCACTTCTGGTGGCCTTGGGTGACCCTATTTGGGTTGCCGGGGATCCAACCCCTGTAGGCCTTGTGCAAGGCAAGCACCCTCTCCACTGTCCTGTTGCTCTGGCCCTGCTTCAGTGTTAGGTGTGTGTTTTTCTTTTTCTTTTTTTTGGGTCACATCCAGCGATGTCCAGGAGTTACTCCATGCTCTGCACTCAGAAATTACTCCAGGCGGTGCTTTGGGGACCATATGGGATCCTGGAGATTAAACCCAGATTGGCCATGTGCAAGGCAAATGCCCTACCATCTGTACTATCACTCCGGCCCCTGGCTTCATTTTTAAAAGGATCCTGGGGACCGGACAGATGACTTAACAGACTAGAGCACAGACTCTGCATGCAGGACCCCTGGGTTTTTAACCTTGGCAATGCGGGGAAGAGGAAGGTGAGGTGTCTTGGGAATCAAAATAGTATTGGGGATCCAACTCAGGGCCTCACAGGCAGAGCTCCCCAGTGCTGAGTCACACCCTTGGCCCTAAAAAGGGCTTTTAAAAATTTTTTTTCAGGGCTGGAATGATAGCACAGCGGGTAGGGTGTTTGCCTTGCACGCGGCTGACCCAGGTTCGATTGCCAGCATCCCATATGGTCCCTCGAGACCGCCAGGAGTAATTCCTGAGTGCATGAGCCAGGAGTAACCCCTGTGCATCACCGGGTGCGACCTAAAAAGTAATAAAAATTGAAAAAAAACGTAATTTTTCCTGGAAAGATCTAGAGTGTACTGGGACCTGGTCAGGCTCCATGGCTCAGCGGGGTAGGGTGGGGGTGAGGGATGGCCCCATAGCTGCTGGCTGTGGGTCTGAGGGGAGCTGAGAGCCAGCGCTCCTGGGGCCTCCGCAGATTGGGGCCGCAGACACTTCTGGCCTCTGGGATGAGGAGGAAGAGGGGAGAGACGGGGAGAATGGCCGCTGTTGGGAGTTGGCAGAAGCTTCTTAGCTGGGCACGATGGGGCCTGAAGCCCTTCATTCCTTGGAAGTTCTCTATGGGCACAGGGTCTGGGGAGTCCAGCCCAACTTTTTAAAAAAAATTTAAAAATTTTTTTGTTTTTATTAATGTAGGAGTACTGCTATTTATTCAGCCACTGATTAGGCTGATTGAATCGGGCATGAACTCCACCTTACTTTTTTTTTCATTTTTTGTAATTTTATTTATTGAATCACCATGAAAGCAGTTACAAAGCTTTCGGGCCTAAGTCTCGGTCATACAGTGAAACACCTGTCCCTTCACCAGTGCCCATTCTCCACCCCCAAAAACCCCAGTATACCCCCATCCCACGCCGTCCCCCTATCTGTGGGGCAGATGATCTCCACATTACTCTCTCTCTACTTTGATTACATTCAATATTTTGACACCTGACCCATCATTATTTGGGATTTTACCCCAATACTCGGATATGCCAAAAATGCAAGAGTAGACTATTTGTTTTCTATTGCTGGTTATGAATAACATATGTCACGCGGCTGCAGCAGTGACCACATGATTTTGGGATTCCGAAATTCCAACAGTTAAATTTGGAGGGATTTCTGCGAAAACCTGCTGAGTTCCGAGATTTGTTCCTTAGTCTCTGGGATCATGGCCGTTTAGCAGCTTGATCAGGAGTCAGGCTGTTCATGGGTGGCAACTCGGGGTCTCGTTGGGACGGGGGAAAGGGCCGGCTCCACCCCATCCCGTGAGGCCCCGCGTCTCGTGACTGCGGGCCCAAACCTGACTGTCCAATGCCAGCCCAACTTTTTGGGGCCCCCACCCAGGGCCTGCACGTCCATAAGAGGAGACGGTGAGGAGCTGGAGAACCAGCTAGTGGATGGGCGGTGGGGGCTGTCATCTCCCCGTGCCCCGTTGCCTCACTTTCCCTCCCTCTCTCCTCAGGGATAAATCCCCCAAAGATAAGCCGAGCCAGCCGACCCTCAGGCAGCCCCGCCAGGGCCCCACAGATGAGGCACAGATGGCCGCCGCCGCCGCCCTGGCCCGGCTGGAGCAGAAGCAGCCCAAGGTCCGGGGGCCCACCTCCCAGGACTCCATCCGGAACCAGGGTGCGCCAACCTCACTCCGCCGTCTGCCCATGGGTCCTAGGCCTTTGGGGGTACACGTGTGAGGGCTGGGCTGAAAGCCTGTTTTTCTTCCCAGCCTGGATTCGATGTGCACAAGGGGCCTGTGGGGTCCAGGGGATCAGGGAGGCTGAGGAAGGGAGGCGAGCTGAGATGGGAGGGGAGGGAGGCAGGTCGGGGTGAAGGGGTGAGGTTTGGGGGGCAGAGGCAGCTCAGGTAGGTGCTACCCCAGGGCCCTCTTCAATGTGCCATGCACATTGGGTCTCCGGGCCAGACCCCCACACCCACCTCTCCCTTTGCGGTCTCTGCAGTGCGCAAGGAGCTTCTAGCTGAGGCCGCCATCAGCGCGAACCCGGAAAGCCCAGGCCCCCACGTGGTGAGAGAGCCCTGCCCGCTGCCCGCCTTCCGTGGGCGCCCTGCGCTGGGGTGGCAGTGGGTGGACAGTGGGTTGTGTGTGGGGCGCCCCAACTCGGCCTGGGAGGATGCTGGGCCCGACTGGCTCTCTGAAGCCTGATAAGCCTGATAAGGGCGCCATCGGCCTTGCCAACCGCAGGAAATCTGGGGCGCAGAGAGGGGAAGACAGCTGTCCTCAATTACATTCCTCATACCCACAAAGGAGCCCAAAAGTGCTGGTCCTTTTCCCCAGCCGTTGTGACTGAAGGGTAGGGGCACCCCAACAGGGGAGCAATCAGGAAGGCCTTCCTGGAGGTCGTGGGCCTCAGTGGCAAAATCATATTGGTCAAGGGCTCTGAGCAGTGCCGTCCGTCCTCCGATCCTCACTGAAGTTCCAAATGGAAGCACCTGAGATTGTCTAGAAATGAGGCCTTTCCCTGACTGCTGTCCCAGGCCCCACCGAGCAGGGGGATGGTGTCCGAGGAGGCAGTGACTGGGTGTCCACTCTGTCAGTCCCTCTTGTCTGTTTCATTTGGGGGGGTCCTACAGGGTCAAGGTGATCAGAAAACTGGGCTGAGAGGACTCCAAGGGCCAGCGTACAGGCCTCACGTGTGGGGTCCCTGGGTTCCACTCCAACACCACCAGAATGACTTGAGCACTGCTAAGGGAGGCCCCCAAACCAAGACCAGAAACAGGCTGAGAGGGACTCAGTCCCCAAGGTCGGCCCTGCGCCCCCTCCTCCCCCCACTGGCTGGGCTGGGGCAGGGCACCCTTGAGTCTCCACCTTCACCCCCACTTTCTCCCCCCAAGGCGTCTGAACCCAAGGAGGAAGGCTCTGACCCTCTGGCAGTGTCTGGGGTCTACTTCACCTGCCCACTCACAGGGGCCATCCTGAGGAAGGACCAGCGGGAGGCCTGCATCAAGGAAGCCATTCTCTCGGTGAGCACCCGGGGGCCCACGCCTCCTTCGGGAAGCCCTCCCAAACCCGCCCTCCACCTCCCTGTAGAAAGAGGATATGAAAAACCCAGGAAATTCGGCACCAGCACCACAGCCCCAGGGCTGTGAGGTCAGGAGGGTGAGGCGTGGGGCTGCCTCGGTCTCTGACCCGCCCCCCTCCCTCCCCCGTCAGCACTTTGCCACCGATCCAGTAGCCGCCTCCATCATGAAGATCCACACGTTCAACAAGGACCGGGACCGGGTGAAGCTGGGCGTGGACACCATCGCTAAGTGAGATGCCCTGCCCTGGAGGACTGGGTTCTACCCTTCACCCTTCCTGTCCCATCTCTCTGGGCCTCAGTTTACCTGTCTGTAAAATGAAGGGGGTTGGGCCCCAGAGGACAGGGGACGGTGCGGGCCTTGCACTCAGCCGAAGACTCGGGTTGGCCTGCTCCTCAGATCCCCATAGGGTTCCCTGAGTGTCACCTGGGGTGGGGGGGTCACGCCAGAGCAGAGCCAGGAAAAGCCCTGAGCATTGCCAGGTGTGGTCCAACCCCCTGCCCCTCACCCCCTAAGACAAAGTGAACAGGTTGTTCTAAGTTGGGGCCCCTGATCCCCTCCCCCCAATCCCGAGTTGAGTGGGGCAAGTGAGGGCCAGAAAGTTCCCCCTTTGCCAGAACCCCAGGGCCGGCCTGGCTCTGTCCTCTGGCTCAGCTCCTGGGGCTCCGTGGAAGACCTTCCCACCCCCCAAAACCATCGGCAGCACTGAACAGCTGCCATCCTACCCCCACTGTGCCCAGGGAGCTCATCACTGGAATGGCAGTTCCTGGGGTGGGGGGCACTGCCGCTACTCACCTCTCACCTGGACTGGGTCCCCCTTGCCTGCCCCCAGGTACCTGGACAACATCCACCTGCACCCCGAGGAGGAGAAGTACCGCAAGATCAAGCTGCAGAACAAAGTGTTCCAGGTGGGGGTGCTGCCCGTTGACCTCTCAGCCTCTGCTGAAATGGCCCCGCCCTCTGCCCTGAGTGGACGGTGGGGAGGGCAAGCCCCTGACCCATGCCTGTCTCCCAGGAGCGCATTAACTGCTTGGAAGGGACGCACGAGTTTTTTGAGGCCATCGGCTTCCAGAAGGCCCTGCTCCCGGTCCCCGACCAGGGTGAGAGCCCAGAGGGGACAGGGGCGGGGGTGTGGAGGGCGGGGGTCCCCGGGGGCTGGCTGATCCTGGCCATGTGCAGACGGCCAGGAGGAGTTCTACGTGCTGAGCAAGGAGGCCCTGGCGCAGAGCCTGGAGCAGCGCAAGGAGCAGCTGCTGCGCGGGGAGCCGGTGCGCGCCCAGCTGGCCCGGCAGCGCCGCCTCTTCCGGCCGTCGCCGCTGGCCGCGCACTTCCACCTGCCCGGGGACTTCTTCAACCTCACGGCCGAGGAGGTCCGGCGGGAGCAGCGGCTCAGGTGCAGGGGGGGCGGGGCAGGCAGGGAAGTGCGTTGGGACTGGCGGCGCGCGCACACACACTCACGAGCCAGCCCTGAGCACTGCCAGGGATGCCCCCTCGCAGCGTGGGGAGCCTGACTTGCTTTCCGGGGCGCCCCCAGGTCGGAGGCAGTGGAACGGCTGAGCGTGCTGCGCACCAAGGCCATGCGGGAGAAGGAGGAGCATCGGGAGATGCGCAAGTACACGTACACACTGCTGCGCGTGCGCTTCCCGGATGGCTGCGTGCTCCAGGGTGCGTGCGTGCATGGGTGCCTTCTCGTGGGGAGGCCCCCTTGGGTGGGGTTTTCACGCAGATGGTGGCCTTGGGGGGCTGCGCGGGGTGTGTGAGGTGCATGGAAGCATGTGCGCAGTGCGTGTCCGCAGCCAAAGGTGCGGCGCAGGGGCACGTGATGCCCCCGGCCCGCCCCAACAGGCCACCCCCTCGCCCCGCCAGGGACCTTCTACGCGCGCGAGCGGGTGGCGGCCCTTTTCGGCTTCGTGCGGGAGGCTCTGCAGAGCGACTGGCTGCCCTTTGAGCTGCTGGCGTCAGGCGGCCAGAAGCTATCGGAGGACGAGAACCTGCCCTTCACCGAGTGTGGGCTGGTGAGTACGGGCACTCCTGGGGAGGAAGGGGAGCTGGGCTCTTGCGGGAGCCGACCCTGCCCTGTCCCCACTCAGGTGCCCTCGGCCTTGCTGACCTTCTCGTGGGACGCAGCCGTGCTGGAGGACCTCAAGGCAGCGGGGGCGCAGCCGGACCCCGCCATCCTAAAGCCCGAGCTGCTGTCGACCATGGAGCAGCTGGCGTGAATAAACAGGGTTGCCTCCCGCCTTGTGTGTGCGTGCTCCCCGCTGCTGCGCGGGGACCCCGACGGGGCTGGGGCCCCGATCAGAGAGCTGGGCCTTGGCCCGCAGCAGCTCAGAGCCCATTAAGTACCTGAAGCCAAGCCGGGGTGAGCGCCCTGTGGGGCGCTGGTCTGTGGCTTGGGGAGCTGGGAAGGGGGGCCAGACGGCCCAGCTGGCCCTGAGGCTGCCCCTGGGGGTGCTGGGTCTATAACAGAGGGCACAATAGTTGTGTAACCTTTAAATTATCAGAATAAATAGGATGTTTGGCTAGTCTTGTGTACTTGTCAGCTCCAGGAGGTGTTGGGGTCAGCCAATCAGGCGGTACTCAGGACCCTGTGGGGTGTCTGGATGGACTCCAGGTCAGGCGGGGTGAGGAAGAGGCCGTCTCTCTCACTGTCCTGGCAGGGGCAATGACAGTGCAGGCCCCAAGAATGACTTCCCAGAGAACAGGAAGAGACCAGGCGTCGGGATGCATGTCTCCGAGCTGAGGAGGGAGGGCCACACACCACAGGGGCAGTCTGGGAAAACCAGAGGTTCCAGAAGCAAGCAGCCCTGTGCACACCGCCTTGTGGGGCCTCAGTGAGGCTCTGAACCCCACATCTCAGGAAAGCCTTGTGGGCTCCTGCACACTGCTGTTCTGCCTGAGGAGAATCACATCCACATCTAGACCCCGCCCCCAGCCCCCCTGCACCTCACCCAGGCCACCCATGCTCTAGCTTCACCCCCGATGTGTCCTAACTCCAGCACAAGCGACCTCCAGACCCTCAGCCTACAAGTGAGGGTGGGCCAACGGGTGGACAATCGGGGTCCTGGCAAGTAGGCACATGTGCACACAGCAGTGGTCTCCCGGCCACCCCTTAGCCCTGCAGCAGGTATGACCAGGACAGGGGCGCAGGGACCCAGGTGCTGCTGGGATTTCTCCCTGCAGGAAGGGAAGCAGGGTAGCCAGAGCACCCCATGCAGCCCCTTCACCCCCAGAAAAGACCACAGACATGCTGAGCAGGGTGAGACAACTTTATACACCCTCCTCGCGGGCCCGGAGCCTGGCCGACAGCTCTGGTTCATTTACAAGCCTCAGGCCACAGTGCCTGGGGGAGGGGGGCTGGCCAGGACTCCCCCGCAGGTGCCATCTCATCGCCATAATGCTTTACCGAAGGGCAGGTTCATATGCAGCTCTGGGGGAATGGGACAGGGTTCTTTTTATACAGTTAAGGAAAGGAAGGGCTCACGGTACCCCAGATGAAACTTGCCAGACCTTGGAAGGCCAGGAAGGTCCGCGAAGCAGGACAAAGTGCTCTTTACACGGGGCCGGGGGCGGTCAAGGATCCGGGCCGCCTCCGCGGGGCCAGGCAGCCGCTGTGTTCAGTAGGCGCCCAGCAGGCTGCCGGGAGCAGGGCTTTCATCACTGTCCCCAACCCCTGGCCTGCCAGTCGGGGCCGGGGCCTCTGCAGGGAGAGAGAGGGGAGTGAGCATGATGGGACAGGCTGACCACCCTAGGGGCACTGATCTTGCCCCCAAGCCCCTCCATCTGGCAAGCAGCCTTGTTTGGGGTTTCCTGATTGCTGCTTTCTAGGCCAAGACAACGGTTTTGTGATTGGATTTGGGGGCCGCCCCACCCGTGCTCAGGAGTGACCCCCCAGAAGAGCTTGGAGACGGAACCTGGGTGGGCCACAGGCAAGGCAAGCACCAGAACCTCTGCATGATCTCCCCAGCCCCAAATAGGCATGGCCACGGTCTCGTCACCAGATCATTTGGGGAGAATACTGAACAAAAACGGGACTGGACCCAGTGGCTGTGGCCTTCGCCTGCAAGTGAACCAGGTGGGACCTCTGGCACTGTATGATGCCGTGAGTGCTCCCCTGAGCGACCCCTAGTAGAGCCCGGAGCCATCATGAGAACGCAGCAGACCTGGGTTCCATCCCCGACACCTCACAATGGTCCCCCAAGCCCTGAGCACCACCAGGAGGGTTACCCCAAAACTAACAAAGGAATCCAACCACATCTAATGTTTGGAGACTGACTTTGGGGGGCGGGGGTGGAGTGGCCCACACCCAGCATCATTCAGGGCGACACCTGGCTTTGTTCTTCAGAGTCACCCTGGCTGTGCTCTGGGGACCTTGTACTGGGGGATGGAATCAGGGGTCACTCATGCCTGCCCCCAAGCACATCCAGGACCCAAGTGCCCAGCCCTCACCGAGGCTGTGTCCCTCAGCCTGCACCCCCAGCCCGGGCACCATTAGGGGAGACAGCCTCTCACCCCCGCCGTCTGAGATATCCATGATGACACAGGCGCTGTCCTCCTCCTCTTCCTCCTCCGTGTCCGCCTGGAAGCCGTCCAGGTCCCCAGCTCCTACCTAGAGAGACAAGGTCACAGGCACTGTGGATGGCGTCCCACACAGCCCCACGGGCATCAGTCTCCAAAACGCAGGAGCCTATGTGAGTCTGAGATAGGGGGTTCCGGGGAGCCTGAGGTGTGTGGTGTGGGGGTGCACGTACTCTCTCAACCACGCAAATGGAGGTTTTTTTTTTTTTGCTTTTTTGGGTCACACCAAGCGATGCACAGCGGCTACCCCTGGCTCATGCACTCAGGAATTACTCCTGGCTGTGCTCAGGGACCATATGGGGTGCTGGGAATCGAACTTGGGTAGGCCACATGCAAGGCAAATGCCCTGCTCACTGTGTTATCACTCCAGCCCCAGATAGAGGTTTTCTGGGGGGGAAAAAAAAAAAGCTCTCCCCAGGGAGACTGTTCAGACTCCCCTATAAACTGTCTTTGATTTCACATTCTGGGGCTTTGGTGTGACAAAGGGATCCAGTGGCACTTTGGCAGGGACTGGGGCACACGCAGAAGCACTGCCAGGCTGAGTGCTTCCCAAGTCAAACTGAGGAAGCTTTGGGGTCTGGGGCTCGCACTGCTATTTGGCATCACTGTCCGAGTGCTCAGTGGAGTGTGCTTTCAGCTCCTCAGTGCTGAGTCCACTTTGCCAGGGGACACAAGGTGCCGCCCGGAAGTGTGCTGAACTCCGTGGTGAGTCCTGAAGGGCAGGACGGGAGGGGACGGGCAGCACAAGGTGTGCCTGGATTTCCTTGCCTCATTCATGACGTCTGCGTGTAGAAGATGGCAGAGCCCCCACACGGCCACCTTGGCTCTGCCACCTGGGTGTGGAGACAAACCCAAGTTTCCATCTTGACTGCACCCACACAAACGCCAGGGATCCTGCTCCTCAGCGGGCTGCTCCCGATGATGCTGGGGGACCGTGTGGCGTCCTCACCCCAGGCCTCACACATGCTGAATGCCTGGTCCCAACTCGGAAGACTGGATTCCTGAGCGTTGCTGGGTGGCCCCTGAGCACAGAGCCAGGAGTTCTCAGCGCTGCAGGTGTGTGGCCCCCAAGCCAAAATAGTTCAAAGAAACAGAAAAAGCAGCGGCGCCTTCGCCTTCCTGTTCCAGAAAGAAGCTCCTAACTCGCTAACAGCAACAAGGCTTTGAAGCCCTGGGCCACTCTCCACACTGAGCCCTGCTGCCATTGCCTCTCAGTTCCGGGGGTCTCAAATAGTCACCTGCCCCCAGGCCAGGGCGCGCTTGCTAGCACCCCACGGCTCCTGCATCTCTATACAGCGCCTGCTCAGAATCCCGCCACCACCCCACCTCCTACTTGTTTTGCGGTCCACCCAGCAATCCTCAGGGGTTACTCCTGGCTCGGCAATCAGGAATGACTCTTGGCGGGGTTGGGGGACCATATATCCCATATATCCCCGGGGATTGAACCCGCGTTGGTCGAATGCAAGGCAAACGCCCTCCCTACTGTACTATTGCGCTGGCCCCGCCTCCCACTCGTACTCTCAGCCAGGGTCCTGTGGCTGCTCTGTGGGCGCCCCAGGGCCCTGGCAGAATCTAGGTGGCCCACCACTCGGACACGGAGGGGGGTGGGTGGCCACCGGAAGGAAATATGTCAGGAAAAGGTGGAGCAATGCGACTCTAGCCACTGCTGAAAGGAAACACTCTCTGGCTGCAAGAGGACAAGTGAAACAAAAGCTCTGATCAGGCCCAGGGGTTTCTGGTCAAGGTGCAGTGAGGGAGCTGGGAGAGCGTCGATGGCCACGTGGAGCGGACAGAGCAGGGAGTGCTGCCAGATTTGTCTTGAGCCACCCAAGACCTGCGTCCGAGCCAGAATGTGCCTCCCATGCCCGGACTCAGTGAGGCCGCTGCATGCACACTGGATCACGTGTGGTGTGTGTGTTGTGTATGCGTTGGCTGAGGCCACGCCTGGGGTTTCCTCACCCCCCAGCCTCCGGCCGCAGTGTGCCCCCCAGTGTGGTGCCCACCTGGCCCTCGTGCCGACGCTTCTTCATGAACTGCGTGATGCACATGCTGCTTGCAGACTTTCTCTTTAGTGACACGGCTGTCCCCTGGCTGGGCCCGGCGGCAGGCACACTGCCAGTGTCCTCCCTGGTGGCCGCGGGCACCATGGTGACGTAGTTCCACTGGCACGGCACGGGCAGGTGCTCCTGGTCGAAGGCGCGCAGCACGTGCGGGTGCACGTACCAGCACATGCGGAAGTCAGGCCGCTTCTCATACACGGAGTTCTCGGAGATGAGCCGCTTCAGCAGGGCCTTGGACGGGACGGCCGTGTCCTCGGCGGCGGCGGTGGTGGTGGGGGTCTGCGGGCGGGAGGAGCCGGGGCTGCTCTCGGGGCTGCCAGCGTCCCTGTCCAGCAGGCCTCGGCGGCAGCACTCCTGGTACTCCCGGATGATGGCTTTGCTCCCGTTCACGTTCCCATGCAGCAGCGGGAGCAGCTGGGCCAAGACTGGCAGGAGAGAGAAGGGCCGGGGCACCGGCAGCGGCTCAGACGGACGGGCCGCCTTCTGCCCGGATGCTCAACCCGCTCTTTGGGGTCACTGGCCTCCCGGGAGGTGGAGGGACTGGGCAGAAAATCCCTTGAGGTCTGATCTAGAGCTTCAACCCCCCTAGCCGGCAAGCCTGCCATGGGCCTATCCCACTTACTCTGCTGGTCCCTCTTGTGCCGCCAAGAGGCCTTGGACACCTGCTCCTCCTCCAGGGGTGCCATCTCCAGCGGGCAGACCCGGAACTGCTGTAGCACCTTCAAGTCTTGCTCCAAAGCGTCCTGGTCCCCACCGGCCTCCCACAAGCAGCCGA